CAACAGGGCCCCTGCCAGGCAGCGCTCCACGCTTCCTTAAACTGAAATTTCAGAAGCAGGATGTCGCCTGGGAAGAGTTGAGATCGGCTCTGAAGACTCACTTTGGAGTTTAACTGTTCTCCAACAGTGTCTAATGTGTTTTAGTTTGTTTTCTAAAACACCTTAGACACAACTGGCTAATCCTTAAATCCCAGACTTATAGAGGAGCCCTCTGCACTAGTTTGGGAACCACTGGTTTAACCCCTTAATGTAAACATGTGCTGGGTGAATCCTGGTACCATAAGGCACTATAATAACTTCAATTAGATGGCATTGTTACGGTGCCTAAACTGTCCCTTTAAGCCTAAAGCAGTATTAACCCTTACTTTACTCTAACACTAACCCTACACCTACACTACCCTTACCCCTATATCTAACCCTAATGAAACCCTCTCCTAAAATCAATTCTGATATCAAAAGATAGGTGTCAAATTAAAACAGTGCACAGTGGTCTGTGACTGACGTCTGCTGGCTGTTTTCATAATAACATGTAAGTATGAATGGAGCCTGATTCCCAGCCGATTACACTGTAATTGGTGCTGGGCAGCGGGCAAAGCCCAGCACTTATAACAATCAGCTTGGTGACAGCCAGGGATATCCTGGGTGGGAGCTCCCTTAGCAAGCCTGAAGCCAGCACTGCAGCTTAACATGATCACACAGCCAGCGTGTTTCAAATGACCAATTTAAAGCGACACTGTAGTCACCCAGACCACTTCAGCTCATTGAAGTGGTCTGGGTGCTGTGTCCCTTTTGCACCTAGTGCTGCAATGTTAAACATTGCACTTCCAAAAAACTACAATGTTTACATTGCAGCTCTAAGTGTGCCCTCTGTGGGTGTCTACCAGACAGCCACTAGAGGGCTTCTGGAATTGTAACAGACTTTTGGTCCATTATCTGACGCTGGATGTCCTCACGGGTCAGATTTTCCCCCATAGGAAAGCATTGATCCAATGCTTTTCTATGGGGAGGTCTGCAGCACATGCGCATTAGAGCCCGCTCATCCTGGGACGGAGCTTCGACCCAGCACTGGGATAAGGTAAGTAAATAAAAGGGTTTTAACCGTTTATTTACCAGGTAGGAGGGGGCGCGAGGCAGAGGGATCGGTAGTGCCAGGAATACAGCTTTGTATTCCTCTATTGAGCATTGCATTCCAGTGCTGCAGGCAGATCATCAGTCAGTCTAAGGCCATTAAAAATAGGCCCAGCTGACAAAGGGGAGCCCCAGGTATCAATTGATACCTGGCTTTCCAGGTGTGAGCAAGTATTTAACCTTGCATACACTGATCTATTCACAGGCATTTGAAGAGCTGCAGTTCATCACCCTGTCTTGTGCCACAACAATGGCCCCATCAGACAGAGTGGAGCCTCAGGCATCAACTGATACCTGGGACTCCCTGATGTGAGCAGGAATTTACCCTGCTTACATCAAAACTGCAGGACTTTCCAGTACGCCTAGTCAATATAAAATTAAAGCGCATTTTAGACAGGCGATACTGGCACGTCCCAACGGACTTAAGGTTTTACCAGTAATAATACTAACAATATTATAATTTATAGCTTGTTATGAATCTCTGTAAATGTTTCTAAATGGGTTCCTAGTATTGGCATACAGTGCCTATTTTTACAGCACTAATCCAGCAATATTAATTGTGGAGCAGGATATAAGGCAGGGAAAGTAATTGGAGAGAAATGGTGTGATGCCACCTTTGCAATAAGTAAGTTTCAACACTGCTAGATATTCTACAGCTATTTGTTATTTTAAAAAAATGAAAATATTTAGGAACAGCAGCAACTAAATCACGAAGTGGAGGACCATGTAAAACCAAAGAGTGAGGTCACCGAGTACTGAGGCGCATAAACGTCACCAATGCTCTGCTTATTCTATTGTTGAAGAGTTTCAAAAGTCCACTCGTTTTAATATTAGCACAAAAACTGTGGTGCAGGAGCTTCATGGAATGAGTTTCTATGGCCGAGCAACAGCATGCAAGCCTCACATCACCAAGCACAATGTCAAGCATTGCATCAAGTGGTGTGTAGCACATTGCTACGGTACTCTGGAGCAGTGGAAATGTGCTCTCTGGAATGACGAATCACACTTGTTTGTCAATCTCATGGGCAAGTCTGGCTTTTGGCAGATGCCAGGAAAGAGTTACCTGCCTGACTGCACTGTGCCTGCAGTAAAGTTTGGTTGAGAAGGAATAATGGTGTGGGGCTATTTATCAGGGATTAGGCTATATCCCCTACTTCTAGTGAAGGGAAATTTACAAAGACATTTTGGATAAAGCTATGCTTCCAACTTTGTGGGGAAAAATTTGAAAAGGCCCTTTTCTATTCTAGCATGACTGTATCAGAGTGCACAAAACAAGGTCCATAAAGACATGGTTGGATGAATTTGGTGAGGGAAAAACTTGACTGACCCACACAGTGCCCTAACCTCAACCCCATTGAACACCTTTGTGATGAACTGGAACAGAGATTGCAAGCCAGGCCTTCTCATCCAACATTAGTGCCCAACCTCACAAATGCTCTACTGGATGAATGGGCAAAAATTCCCATAGAAACATTTCACAATGTCATGGCAAGCCTTCCCAGAAAGGTGGAAGATGTAGCAAAGGAGGAGAGGACGACAACATATTAAGGTTTAGACTTCGATGCCATAAAAGTCCATGTTGGTATAATGTTCAGGTGTCCCAATACTTTGCCTATATAGTGTCTCTCGCTTGCTAGAGAGATAAATTGATGGATTGAAACATGTATTACATTTACAGTACTTTGGCTATATTCACAAAGTTCCTAAAACAGTTGGTTATTTGGGGAGTCATCATTCAGATAAGTTAATTGTCGTCCCCCCCTCCCCCTTTTTTTATTCTGATGAAGTTCCCTTAATGTAGTTATGGTGCCAGGAAGACCCTGGAACCTGCTTACCTTCAGGGTGTTAAACCTGTTAACAAACCAGTTAACCCCAAGTGTTGAATCCAGTATTTGTGCACATATTTTTGCACAATAATAGTTTCATTCACTTAATACATTGTGTTACAATAGTTTACTGTTTAAAGACATAGCACACCTTATATTTTTACCTAGTGTTTTGTGCTAATTGCACTCTAATGTGCTGCTTTATTTGCACAATTTGTATATCTTTTGGTATATGTTCAGCACCTATATTACTTAAATATTATTTTTGAATCTAGCACCGTTTAAGCTCTGCCCCTCTCCTAATTTTGTCTAAGGTTTGAATCAGGAATCCACGGACAATGGTGCCGCTGATTGGCTGAGAGCATCAGCTGTCACTTTATGCCAATCACAGATCTTCATTCACAAAACTGCTTGAACAAATTACATACATTTCTCAAACTGTTTGTTAATTTAATTTTTTTGAAGCAGGGCACGCCTCAGTGAGAGGGATATGTCCAGGGAACACCTATTTTTGCACCACTAGCTTATAAATGTCACATTTTTACAGCCATACTAGAGAGGAAAGCTCAAGCGTAGCTGTAACCAATTTCACCAACTGGTTTTGTCAGGTGGGAATCACAACATTAATGCAGACACCTTAAAATTACACACATAAGGAACCATTTTAACCAATTAAAGCCATATATTCTGAGCAATGGTCTCAGATAAAGCATTTAATCCGTGCGGTGGCTCTCTCATGAAGATTATTTCCACTTCTAACCTATCAGTAAAGTTGATGGAGAATATTGTGGTGTTCCCTCTAAGAATGTTGAAATTTACAAAATAGTTATCAAAATACTACTTAAAACAGTATCTTTCGATAAAAGACCAGGATATAACATCTGCAACACCAACAACAAACTAACCATAGGCAAACTTTCTACTGGAGATGACCCTCTGGCAGAACAGATGAAGCATGATTTCACTAGTAGTTTACAATATTTGGATTGCAGGCTGCTTGAGGCCAAAAGGAATAGAGGATTTTGAAGTTCACCTATCATGCCAACCATGGCACTTTCACCCTATATAAAATATAATTATATACAATAGACATAGCCAAATGTATAGTTAAGTAGTAATTTTTTTTCTTAACATTACGCTAAAAAGACACATATATACATACATACACACACACCCACCCATAGGCAGCGGTCACTTGACCCCATAAGGAGTTGTAAAACAACCCCAAGTGTCTTGGAGGCATTATACAACTCCCATAACATGCAAGAAATTTGGGGCCACTACATGTCATTAGGAAACAAGAGTAATTTCTATTCTGGGTGCAACATGTTAGTTGTGAAACATCCTTAGAAAGACTTCAGATATGGTTTATTTCACCAACCAGTTTCAGTCAGGAAACAATAAGGACAACATTACTAGCTCTTCAAAAAGGTGTCTACTTGCAACTTCTCTATGGGAACAAACATAGCATTTTCTCTAATGTCTTGAGTTTTGGGGGTAAAGGGGAATATTGTCCTGAATCCCATCATGCTGTAATCTGCTCTGATGGAGTTTGCTTTTGCAGCCACATGACCACATCTTAATATAGTAATTTGGTTTCCAAGAGCCTATCTCTCTGCACCCTCATTTGCAAACACTGCCTGTTTTTCTGAAAGGGCAAAGTTTACATTACTCCCCAAAAATGTGAATCGGAGTGACAGCCCACTAGAGGCGCCTCCTCGTTATATTCCTATAATGTTTGCAGGCCCAACGTTCAATATCCTCACGCCCAGCATAAAGTCAAACAAATCCCACAGATGTATTAGTATAATGCATCTATCAGGAAATGCTGATTGGTGCTGTAATTGCTGTGCTGGAAGAGCCTACAATGCTTCTACACACTGAAGTCTTGGCTTAGCCTAGAGATTATCCTAGCAAGAATCTCGCCAGGACTGTGGCGAGGGCTAATAAAACTAAAAATTAAAAAAAGTAAAAATGTATGTATTTTTGCTTTTTAAAGGAAGACGCTAAATCAATAGGAAGAAACGAATGTAAGAAATACATTTATATATGGTTTATTAGAGAGTTTCCCTTCAATGTGCATTTTTTTTTTTTTTTATAAACAAAAGTCCAAATGCAACAGACTCGAAGTTATTTCAATAGCATTCAACAAAATGTGTAAGGAATATATATCTCTTCAGAATGGTCTTGGACAGTGTTCCTAAATCAGGATAAACAGCAATAAGCCTGTGTGCAGTCAAAAAGGGTGCAAAGATTTACCTTCCAACAGGACAATGATATTAAGCACGCAACCAAAACAAGAGTAACATTGTTAACAGACTCAGTAACAGCGTTAACTGAACGTTCCATCCAATGTGACAATGATTTTTCTTTAAATAAGTTTGTAGAATTTTTTTTTATACAAAATCTGTTTTTTGGGGGCTTTGTCATTATAGGGGTACTGAGTGTGGATTGATATGGAGAACAAAAAAAAAAAAACCCTTAAACAAGTGAAGCATACAGCTGCAACAGAAAAATGAAAATAAATGTGAATACGGTGTGTATATCTATATATTTTACACATACCATACATACGATTACACACACTCCACAAGAGGAAAAGCACTAAATGAGCTGTGTCTTATTGTAAAGTTTGGTTTCTAGTATGTACAGGTTAATGAAAGTTTGTGTTATTCAGGTGACTCACTCGTATTTTACACTATCAATAAAAATCTGTAACATTAAGCGAGACTTTGTCTAAGCAGATTGTTTTTCTAGAACAGCTATAGTTGAGAAGATATTTTTATTGTGTAGCATTACGGCTTTATTCTGGAAGATATTTTAATTCCTGGATGCCAGTAAATGTCCCATACCTGCATTCTATTACAAATATCCTGTGATATTTTGCACTTCATCGCATCCTGATTTGATTAGCATATGTGCTTGATGGCTACCTGCAGTGCGGGAGTCTACAGGTCCTTGTAATTACATTTGATAACATACTAGACTTTATTAGTTTATATCTCTTTTACTACTAAATTAGATTTGCAGTTTAGTTCTAAAATAACAAATAAATAGCATCTCATCAAATCATAATGTGTCCCTTTTAGAATTGAATAACACAGTTTTATACCTTGAACTTTACTTATACAGTTGTAGCCAACCAATACTTTGCTTTTGAAACATGAGTAAACTCAATGGCGACGCATAAATAAGCTAATTTAGTAAATTCACACTTCTGTAATAAAATCTTTTGTACTTGACATATGATTTTGCCAATTATACAAGAAGAAAACAGTTCACACAAGAGAAATCAGATAAATGTGAATGTAATCCCTGTTTATTTCATTGCTTAACAGGCTCTAAACAAGTATCAAACTTTGATGGAATTCGTTCATGTCTCAAAGGAATTTTATTATTATGGTCACTGGTAGGAAAATTGGGAAGAAAAAATAAAATAAAAAACAACCTCACAGACACTTTATCAGTGCAAACTAGGGGAAGTTAAGAAGTCGCCTTGTGGACATTACTGATGAACTTTGGCCTTTTCAAATAAAAACAAGCTGGCTAAACCTAAAATTCAGCTTGCGCATACTTAAAACTCATTCTCAGCAATGCTTATATCACCGGAGCACTGTTGTCAAACAAACATTCTTAAAGAATAGGGAATGATCCATTACGCTAGAGCCCAAATCATAAAAGCCGTTAATAAATTATGAAAACGACACTTTTGATTACACTGGCCCAATCCAATGCTGCAAGATTGTTGTAAAATGAGTCCACTGAATGCAAACCTTTGGGTTATTTACTCTGTACAAAGAGCTAATCCCGCTAACAAATAAATGCAGAGCAAAAGCACTCCTAAATACACACACCCACACAATGTTGTCCAAACCAGAGTTCATGATAATTTGCTTTAGAAAACACTGGATGGCAAAGTACAGTCATTAATCCAAGCACGCATGATGGTTGTGAAATTATTTAATTATCTCATAAAGTAACATAAAAAAAAAAGAAACACTAGCCCCTTCAGTCAAATCCAACTCATACAACCCCCCACCCCCTTCTCCTCCCATTAATGGCTGTAATGTGCCACTACACATCATAGTTGGGATTTTTGCGCAGAATAACAAAGCCCTCCAGTATGGGGGTTACTGGCAGATATTCTTCTGTGGCCAACTCTGCCCGCTCTCCGTGCGCTAACAACACTGGAGTCGTGTGTGTCTGGAAGCCTGTGATGGTCTTGGGCTTGCCAGCCTGACCTACAACATCCACAGCCTAAAAAAAATAAAAATGCAACAGTATGTTAAACCGCCCATCTCATACTGGCTTTGTGAAATGCAGATATGTTTTACAAAACTAAAACAAGAGTTTTGTGACATACCTGTCCAACTCTCACAGACACTGGCAGAGGTCGCAGCTCCTCATCGAAAGTGACCAACATACGTGGCTGCATTGCAGCTACTAAACCGTATAATACATAATGTGATTTCCCAAGAACGACTGAAAGAGTAAAGGGAAAACTGGTCAAAACAAAGACATGCACTAATAATGGGGAAAATTTAAATGTCTGAAAGAAGGATGAAAATAAATAAAAGACCACACAATATCATCTGTCTAGCTATTCTGGACTCCATGGTGCCCTTGGAGCCAGTGTCCATTTGTGATGGAGGACTGGGGCAAGGTTTGTTCATCACTGTCCTTTGCAAGTTAGAGTTGAAGTAATACAAACATATAAGTACTTACTATTCCGGACATCCAGGAACGACACAAGCACAGTTAATAGTCCAGCAACTGCAACCTGACTCATAAGCTGTCGATCGCTGTGATATGGGCAAAGTGTGAGGGTGCCCTTTCCCAAGTGAGTAAGACCCTAGAGGGAAAACAATTAACGGCACAAAATGAAACTGGAATGCAAATAAAAGGAGCATTTCAAAACGATAGAAAACAGGAGACATGTCTAAAAAGGCAAGCATAGATATTAAGTTATAACATGAGTGACACCTAGTGCTTGTGTTTTGCTATGCAAGTTCACACGAAAGGCAAGCTGCCACATTCAAGACAGCCATCATCTTAACGTGCTTAGCTTAACATCATGACAATAACTCAAGACTTATTAACACAAGCAAAAAAACAAAACATGTCCCTACAGCCAAGTGTTGATCTTGACATATTCTAAGTTAATCATGACTGGTTAAACAGTTGACTGGATCAATGTAATTTAAATACACAAAGTTTAATTGCTAAAGGCCAGTCACACGAAAGGACTGTATGAAGTGCATTATTAAAGCTGAAAACGCAAGGGTAGGAAACCTTTGCCACTCAATATGTTGTTGACTTCTCTCCCATAATGCTCTATGCTGGCAAAACATCAAAGGAGATGTAGTCTACAAGATCTGGTGTGCCGAAGGTTGCCTATCACTGCTCTAGTGAAACATTTTACGCACCAGCTTCCTCAAAAAATATGTAAGTTTGTAGAGGATTCTGAATAAGCGGCTGAGCTCATTCAGATTCCTCTACAAAAAAAGATTAAATCTTAAAAGATCTACAGAAAAGATTAAACTCTAAAAATCCATAGTGCAAAATTTGGCCATAAAATACAAGACAATTGTGTGTAGGCCACTGTCACATTGTAATATTTAGCAGTTACTTAAAAGTGTTACGCTGTACCTCACTCTCTTGGATACTTGACCATTAAGGGCTGGTGCAGACAAACTAAACAAACCTGTAATATAAACTGACAGTATCAAGTCTACTTGGCCCCTGCATTTTGAGGAGTGCAGTGTAGATTCTAATCCCATAATCCAATCCTATTAAAAGATCTGTTAAAGTAATCGTGGAGAAACCGAGCTCTTTCTAACGCAGGAGTTATAAGTGAAAAAAGTGAACATATGGAAATATGTTAAAGCAGCTATCAACCAATTGCGTATTTATAAAAAATAAATAAATAAAAAATCTTGAAATACTCACATTGGTGGTGTTGGAGTTTCACTGGAATTCAAACCCAGTCAAAATATGTACTAAGACAAAGTGATCTTTGTCTTTGTGGTTTTTTCCTACGCTTGACAAAAAAAAAAAACTTGACAAAAGGCAAAACTCCCTTGATCAAGTTGTATCACTTCCCCCAGCCACCACAAGTGACGGCTATAGGATCCTGCGGTCTTGTGGTTGCTCTATAGATCTCGCTGACACGAGCTCCTGCCAGATGAAACTCCAGTAGCTGAAGCAGATTGCTAGGAAGACCATAGTGGCAGCCACAAGGGACAGATTCAGGTAAGTATAACTCACCTTTCCCTGCATTCCGTTGCCACTGGACACCCAGCAGTTACCGTCAGGAGTCTCTGCAAATTATGCAAAAACCCCAGATGTTGACAGAGCCACTTTAATAGCTCAACATCTGTAGAATGAGGCAGTAATAGCTGGTCAAAACCAAGACAATGAGTGAGCGCTGAATAACACAAATAAGCAGCAACCCTAAAAGGGAATCCCTCAAAAACCCTTAAGGATAAAACACAAAAAATACAGAAAAAGGGCTGCGCTTAAATAAAAAGTATAAAAGTCCAGATAGAATAAATAAATAAAGGAGAGAAGGTCTTATCTTGCAATGTCCGTAATGCTTAGTCCGAAACAGTAATCTTGCTTTCTGTCTTTCTTGTGGACTGTCTCGTATGTAAGAGATAAAAACAGATACAAAACCACAATGGTGCAGTATATCTTAATGTAAAAGGAATAAAATATAAAACCTTGATTGCGAACTCACATATCCAAGAGCTAGAACCTGCTCTGGTATAGAAGGCGTACAGCGGTTTAGATCCCCGCTTATGGGATATGGGATGGTTATCCTTCACGTATTTCCTCCTTCCGTTGGTATAAGAAATGCTCAAATAAAATAAAAATAAAAAGAGACAGCCAATAGTGTTCTCTGCGTGAAATTAAAATAGAATATAAAATAAAATAAAAATGGATACTCACAAGACAGGAGCAGGTCAACTGCTCCTGGTATTTCGCACTGGTGGAATAATCCCCACCTAGGATTGCTTGGAGTCCAGGGAATAATGCCAGGTAAAAATAATACTTATATAGGTATAAAAAGATAAGTGGTACAATAAAAGATTATAAAATATACTTTAATTGTAACATTACACAATATAAAAAAACCATAAACGCGTTTCGCCAATCGGCGTTATCAATATGGGTGAAGAACCTGATACCTGGCAGTGGATCATTTAAATAGCATATACAATTAATTCAAAAATTGGCGCCAAAATTTGGGCAGCCAATCAGATTGCAGTAAAAAATTACATTGAATGGAACACTAATAAAACATGATTAATAATATGCATAAGAAAAGAACTAAAAAAAACTTAGTACATCAGATAGTTTAACTTTAAAAACGATCAGTAGTTTGTGCAGAAAAACTGTGATGCACGGTCACATGACCGGCATCGAAACCGAAGGGGATGATGGGATGTGTAGTTCGGCGCCGGCCGGCACTGCGCAGCCGCCGGCGTCGTGAGGGGGAACTGGTAGCTGGCGTCTGGACGCAGCCGCTCGCATAGCAGATGCGTCCAGACGCCAGTGGGCGGAGCGAAAGGCGGACGTACATGATGACGGCGGCACGCACAAAACAGTAGCCGCCGTCATCAGGAAGTAGATAGACGACGGCTCACACAACGCTGTGGCCGTCGTCATGGAGATAAAACACGGCGGAGTCGGCTATGGCCGAATAGAAGAGGGGGGAAAAAAAAGAAGAAATAAAGATAAATGGAATAAAAAGAATATGTTAAAAATAAATAAAGATAAGTAAAAGAGAAAATAGTAATAATAAATAGAAATAAAATAAAATAAAAGCAAAATGGAAAGAGGCAGTAGATAAAAATTAACATTAGCATCATGCCTGCTCTGCTAAATAGTAAGAGCAGGCATAGTGTGTAAACAAATCAATGGAATAAAATGGTATAAAAACATATATTAAATGCTCTTAATTATAAAAAATTTAACAAATCAAAATCAACATTCAGGCCATAAGGTGCAAGAGTTTGAAGTGTATAGACCCACTCCATTTCTTTTTTGCCTAAAATATTTTTAATGTTTCCACCCCTCCATGGAACCATACATTTCCCTATAGCAATACATTTCAACATTTTAGGATCTTTGTTATGTATAATGAAATGTTTGGATACTGAATGATTTAAGTATCCATTCTTGATATTTCTGCAGTGTTCGCTCAAACGTATTTTTAAACACCTTGTGGTCATTCCAACATATTGGAGGCCACAAGGGCATTCAAGCAGATATATCACGTTTTTCGTGGAGCAATTAATAAAATCATTTATTTTGTAAACCTTATTAGTCCTTTTTGATGAAAATTCCGTTACTTTGGGTGGAACATCAGAGTTGGTGGATTTACACACAATGCACATTTTACACTTGCAGAAGCCTTTAATTTGTGGGGAAAAGGATATAGGGGGTTTTTTTTTAGAAGTTTTTTCTCTTGTAAAATTATTAGTCAGAATAGATTTAAAATTTTGGGCACCCCTAAATATAATATTCGGGTGTTCAGGTATAATTTTGTTTAATATTTCATCTTGTTTAAGAAGGTGCCAATGTTTTTTTATGATTTTTTTAACATTATTACTCTTATTATTAAAGTTAAAAATAATCGGTAAAGGCATATCTGTGTCCGTAGTTTTAGGTTTATATTTTAGGAGTTCATTCCTATCTTTCCCTTGGATCTCCATGATGGTACTTTCTAATTCTGATTTTGAGTAGTTTTTTTCAATGAATTTATCTTTTAAGAGATTCGCTTGTATCTCAAAGTCTTTAAGTTCTGAACAGTTTCTTCTAAGTCTAAGTATTTGACTTTTAGGAGCGCTGTCTAGCCATGGTTGGTAATGACAGCTATTTTTGTCAATGGCAGTGTTAACACAAACCTTTTTAAAGAAAGTTTTTGTATGTACCATACCACCTTTTATAAAAATGTCAAGGTCTAAAAAATTGATTTGTTCTCTACTGTATTCACAGGTAAGGATTATGCCTCTATTATTCAGGTTAAGGTTAGTGATAAAAGAATTAAGAGCTTCTTCGGTACCATCCCAAATAAAAAACAGATCATCAATATATCTAAAAGAGGAGACCAGGTTCGCTCTCCACGCATGATTACCAAAAATGGCTTCTGACTCCCAGTCGGCCATAAACAAGTTTGCATAGCTGGGAGCAAACCTGGTCCCCATGGCAGTGCCTCTTTTTTGCAGATAAAAAGAGTCTAAAAACCAAAAATAGTTGTTGTTTAAAATAATATTAATACCTTCTAAAATAAACTCTATTTGTTGATCAATCATTTTCCCTTCTTTGGTTAAAATATCTTTTACAGCTTGACAGCCTATATCATGAGGTATGATCGTATATAGTGACTGAACATCACATGTCACCAATATAAAACTAGATTTCCATGTAAAATTATTTAAAAAATTTAAAAGAGCCATGGAATCTTGAAGGTATGATCTCATGAGTTTGACTGAGGGTTGTAAAAGAATATCTATATATTGCGAAAGATTGCATAAAAGGGAACCTATGCCTGATACAATTGGTCTTCCAGGGGGAAGGGTTTCACTTTTATGGATTTTCGGGCGGAAATAGATTACAGGTGTTATAGGATGTTGATTATTTAAAAAATTAAATTCTTGTTTATTTAAAATACCTTGCTCCACACCTTTATTTAAAAATTCGATAAAACCATTTTGAATTTGTTTTATGGGGTCTGCTGTGAGTTTTTCATATATATTTACATCATTTAGTTGTCTGAGAGCCTCATTTATGTACATTTGAGTAGATTGAATAACTATTCCTCCACCTTTATCCGCTGGTTTGATCACAATATTTTCATCATTTTGAAGTTCTTACAGAGCTATCTTTTCTAGATGGGTTAAATTGTGGGGGTCATATCTGTTGTTTTTTATTTTTTCTAAATCTTTTGTAACAAGTTTTTCAAACATAGTGAGGGGTGCAGACTTATAATGAGCAGGATAAAAAGTGGATTTCTTTCTAAGGGAGGTATTAATAATATTATTATTACATGAAGGTATTGACGGGGTTATGGTAGCATATTGTTCAGGTTTTTCCATGAAAAATCTTTTTAGAGTTGCTTTTCGAACAAATTTATGCTACTGTTTTGTGCGTGCCGCCGTCATCATGTACGTCCGCCTTTCGCTCCGCCCACTGGCGTCTGGACGCATCTGCTATGCGAGCGGCTGCGTCCAGACGCCAGCTACCAGTTCCCCCTCACGACGCCGGCGGCTGCGCAGTGCCGGCCGGCGCCGAACTACACATCCCATCATCCCCTTCGGTTTCGATGCCGGTCATGTGACCGTGCATCACAGAGTTTTTCTGCACAAACTACTGATCGTTTTTAAAGTTAAACTATATGATGTACTAAGTTTTTTTAGTTCTTTTCTTATGCATATTATTAATCATGTTTTATTAGTGTTCCATTGAATGTAATTTTTTACTGCAATCTGATTGGCTGCCCAAATTTTGGCGCCAATTTTTGAATTAATTGTATATGCTATTTAAATGATCCACTGCCAGGTATCAGGTTCTTCACCCATATTGATAACGCCGATTGGCGAAACGCGTTTATGGTTTTTTATATTGTGTAATGTTACAATTAAAGTATATTTTATAATCTTTTATTGTACCACTTATCTTTTTATACCTATATAAGTATTATTTTTACCTGGCATTATTCCCTGGACTCCAAGCAATCCTAGGTGGGGATTATTCCACCAGTGCGAAATACCAGGAGCAGTTGACCTGCTCCTGTCTTGTGAGTATCCATTTTTATTTTATTTTATATTCTATTTTAATTTCACGCAGAGAACACTATTGGCTGTCTCTTTTTATTTTTATTTTATTTGAGCATTTCTTATACCAACGGAAGGAGGAAATACGTGAAGGATAACCATCCCATATCCCATAAGCGGGGATCTAAACCGCTGTACGCCTTCTATACCAGAGCAGGTTCTAGCTCTTGGATATGTGAGTTCGCAATCAAGGTTTTATATTTTATTCCTTTTACATTAAGATATACTGCACCATTGTGGTTTTGTATCTGTTTTTATCTCTTACATACGAGACAGTCCACAAGAAAGACAGAAAGCAAGATTACTGTTTCGGACTAAGCATTACGGACATTGCAAGATAAGACCTTCTCTCCTTTATTTATTTATTCTATCTGGACTTTTATACTTTTTATTTAAGCGCAGCCCTTTTTCTGTAGTAATAGCTGGTCACCTGGAGCTGGATAAGCAAACATTCTTTCACTTAAAATTCCAAAAAATGGTTTTCAAATAAATAAACAATGTAATTAATGCCAGACTTCTGTTTTATGCAAATTGAAATGTACATATATATATATTTTTTTTGTGTGGAAATTCTATAATGTAAGTAGTTTAAACTACATAGCTCACACATACGACAGAAAATCATAAGTAACATGAACGGTTTCTAAACATTTGTAAAAGTCCAAGGGGTTAAATTACAACTTTGTCTTTTGCCTAATTCATGAAGCAAAACTGCATATCTCCATATATCTGTATTAGGGTATATTCGTTAAATTGCAGTCAGGATCAAGATTTAAACCCAGAAAATTAGTAAAGAAACACTCGCTTACATCTAGATACAATTTACCAAATACAATATAAATGTAAAACAGAATAAACAATCAGGTTAATATTTGCATTATTTAGGTGCATAAGCCAAAACAGGTTGGTTATCACAGAAAAAAGTCCATGTTAGATCCAGGTTATAAATTAACTGCAGAGCAAAGCAGAAGGCAAGTTGGGGATTATTGACTTAACGTTGTTATATGCCTAATGCCTATAGAGTTCTAACTTTAATAAAAATTTAAAAAGTACCTTCCTATTTGTTTCATTTATATTCGGTAAGGTTAATTCCCAATAAAACATGTCTAGTATAGCTTATTTATTACTAATATTCTCCAAACCTTAATTCTACACAAACTAATATGGAATAGAATATAGTATTCGTCTTTGTTAGTTCTCAATATTGTTGTATCCGCCATTGTGACATATTACAATATAACACGAGAACGGTATTAATCTAGTTAGTGAACGATTCATAGCTCTCCTATATTATAACATATTGTCAAATGTAACTGCTGAAAGTTGCCAAACATTAATGGGTATACACAGTTTCCAAATGTAGGATTCATTTCAAAACCCCGATATCCTAATCAAAGTTAATACAAAATCAGAACCATTTTTGCATAGCCAGATTCCCAATATATCTCTCATGTAGTGGATATCCCTGATTTGGATCTGTAATCAAAATAAATATATGTCTATCCCTTCCAATTATATATAAATCTCCAAATCAACAAAGCCAAATCAATTAGGGACACCCAAAGGGGTGTCACTAAAAGAAGTCTAGGAAAATCATGGAATGATTACAAATCACAAGGACAACACTATTCACAGAATAACTTTCATGGATTTACAGAAAGACAACCTCTATATATTCAAAATGTGAAGCCAACAACAAGGAAGAAAAAAACCCAAAAATAAAAACGATTGAGGAGTGTACAGATACCGTAATTTATCTAATGTTTAAACACCTGATTTAGATCCCATTCTATATGGAGACCATGACTGGGGGCTCTCATTTGTAAGGTAAAAACTACATTTCATCTCTCAATAGCAATTTATGTTCATCTCTCCCAATGTTTACACCTGTGTATTCCTTAAACGTAAACAAGGTTAGATCTTCTCCTGCACATGATTTAAAATGTTTGGACACAGGGGTTTGCCCTACTCTTTTCTGATGCTACAAATATGTTCTGCTATCCTTGTTTTTAAAGTTACATATTGTTTGATCTACATATTGTTTTAACAGTTCCTTGTCCTCAAAAAGACAGGAGAGCTTTGCTTAATTATCAACCTGAAAGAATTGAATCAACATGTCAGACATCGTCATTTCAAGATGGAGGGCATCCATCTTCTCAGGGACCTCCTGAGATTGGGATTGGTTCTCCAGATTCGATCTCAAGGACGCATATCTCACAGTTTCAGTTGCCCTCAACCTTCAATTCCAATGGCAAGGAGAAATTTGGCAGTTCACACGCCTTCATTTCGGTCTTTGCGCAGCACCATGGTGTTTCACGAAATTGATGAAACCAGTCATGGCATTATTCCGTTCTCAGGGGATTCGTTCCATTGTATATTTGGACGACATCCTAATCATGGCTCAGGATCCAAAACTTCTCCGTCACCACACGGACAGGACAACTGCCTTGTTACAAAACCTGAGATTTGTTATAAAGTTTCAGAAATCGGATATGGAACCCTCTCAGATGGTTACGTTTCTCGGATTTCAAATAAATTTGATACAGACGATTTTGGCTTCACAACATGGAAGCCTGGAATGGCAAAGCCATATTCGGTTTGCAGCCGGACTTCGTTCTGCAATCCGATGCCAGTCTGCTGGGATAGGGTGCAACGTGCTCAGAGACGTCCACTGGAGGACTATGGTCCCCTTCGGAACAGGCTCTACACATCAACTAAGTAATCACAGGATCCTTTGCGATCTGCAGTTTCACAAAAGATTTCTTCAATTGTTTTCTAGTGTTACGCATGGACAATGTCCCAGCAGTGCGTTATGTGAATCGATTGGGAGGAAACCGATCCAAACTGCTGTCCAACCTTACCAAGGGTCTCTACCAATTTGGTAGAGAGAGAAAGCTGTCCATTCGGGAGGAATATTTTTCAGGCACAGACAATCTAGTAGCAGACTGGATCTCCAGTCATTGGAGGGAAGTCAGCGACTGGCAATTGGACTCCCACGCTGTAGTATTCACACCTGAAGGGGCTAGATTTAATATCAACAGACGTATGAAGACAAATTCTTCCTCAGTCTTTTCCCTGTACTTTTCGAGAAGACTGTCCCTCTGCGTGGCACGTTGTGTTCGACATTATATAGATACCACAGCATTAATCCGTTCCCCTTCGGGACCCCAAAAACCGGTCTCCTCTCTCACGATGGATCAGATGACTTCCTACAAGGCTAGGATTGACCAGTCAGGGGAGCAGCCGCATCTTCCGCCTTTCAAGCAGGCAGTTCCCTCTCAGACATCTTTTCCTCCACGGATTGGTCCACAGAGTCAATGTTTTGTACTTTCTATCTCAAACCTATGCACATGCTGCCTCTTCTATCATACAGGAGCGTTAAAACAGCAAATATGGGGGCGTGGTTTGGCGCTCGAGCTGCACGGCCGCATGTCGGAGTAGCTCCCGCCAATCGAGCCGCACGGGGCAATAAAAAAACCGGTCTAACGAGCGATTCCCACCGCTAGCATCACCGCAAGTACCCACCATGTCCCAGAGGCAAAAAAGCAAACCCGCGAAAGCGGATAAAGCGTCCTTTTTCTTAACAAAAGCCGCACAGATGAAAACGCGGGAAACCCAGGAACAAGATGGCGGCCCGCCGCGATCGCGGGAGGGCTCCCCCGCTTCCCAGCCTCCCCTGAAATGAATGTGGATGACCAACCCCACACGGTGGCCACCATGAGGAGCATGATGACAGAACTAACAGACTCAGTGCAGAGGAGCCTCAGGGCTCAAATGCTCACACTGACAGCTGAGCTCAGAAAGGATCTGCAAGATATAGGGACCCGTACCGCACACCTGGAATCCAAAATGGACGACTTCTCAGTGGCCCATAACAGTGTGGCTGACAAAATGCAGGAACTAGAAGACACTATCACAGCCCAAAAAAATCAAGCTGGCAGACCTGGAAGACAGGTCTAGGAGGAACAACCTCAGATTTAGGGGAATACCGGAATCGGTAACAAATGCTGACCTAGACAACTATTTACAAGATATGTTCCAGCAGCTGACCCCTGAACTGCATCCAGATCAACTACTACTAGACAGAGCGGACCGTCTTCAGAGACCTAGCCACTTACCTACCACCGCAGCGAGAGACGTCATAGCGAGAGTGCATTTCTTCCATGCCAAGGAACGGATCATCAGAGCAAACAGAAACAAAGGGATGCCTGAGAAGTACCACAACATAAAAATCTTCTCTGACCTGTCAGCAGAAACACTGCAGTTCCGCAAATCTGTGGCGCAAATTACGCTGTCGCTAAGCACACAGGGACTGAGCTACAGATGGGGTTACCCTGCCAAGCTGCTAGTGTACCACCAAGATTCCCTCCACTCCATCACGTCGGCACCACAAGGTATACGGCTGCTGGAAGACTGGGGTATCCCGCTGGCAGAGATGGCGAAAACGGGCCCGGCGAAAGTTCCTCGTCTGACTCAAGACTGGGCATCCAGATAAAGAGCCTCCATACCCATGCGGTATACGTAAGACGCTCACCCAAGTTATGAACTATTTTGTTGCACTAGTTATTATGCTGTTTTACATTTTATGTTTTGTTATACTACTGCCACACACCCAAAGCTTGCAAACGGGACTACTGAGGCCCCCTGACTTCCCCACGCACCAACTACTACAGTAGATAACGAGATATACTCTCGGCTAGATTTTGACACTGCCCAATTACAATAGGTTAGGGAGTTGGGGCACCGTAGCATGTACCAAAAAAAAAAAAAAAAAACCACATGCAGCTAATGACACCTATACCCATAGTGCCCCGGTGCGTGCTGGATCGAGTGACTCCCTCCTGACGGGAGTGTCCCAACTTCACGACCCCACTAACGTGCAAGCGACCCCCGGGCGCCGCACTAAGGCTCAACCCAAAGGAGCCTAACAGGGCTATGCCCTCGCCTACCCCCTTTTCTCCCCCTTATAAGAAACGGCCCGAAAACAGACGACACAAGTTGACCTTCCTTCATCCCCCTCTTGCCTCCATACCACATCCTTTTACAATGACTAATCACACTGAACCACTAGGAAAGTCCATATCCCAATCACCCCACTATAAGAGACAATCCGACAGCCTACATACACGGGTACCAACCCCAGCGAATCCTAGGGAAACCACACCAGAATGAGAATAGTATCCTATAATGTACGGGGGCTTAACTCCCCTGAAAAACGAAGACTACTTCTACACGAGCTTAAGAAGAACTCAGTAGATATAGCATGCCTCCAAGAAACGCACTTTAGGGGTCCCACTGCACCTTCCCTCTTCTCAAAACTATACCCTATACAGTTTCACGCCCTGTCAGAAGCAAAAACGAAAGGGGTTTCCATCTTAGTGCACAAAGACGTGGTCTTCACTCCACAAAACAGCCATATAGACCCTACGGGAAGGTATATTATAGTGGTGGGGCTTTTCAACAACACACAATACACCATAGGGACAACGTACTTCCCGAATGACAACCAAGCCTCGTACCTCAAATCTCTCCTGTCTAAACTTGATACCTCTCCTGTCTAAACTTGATACGCTCCTAAAGTATGACATCCCCGCAATATTTATCAAACAGATCTTTGCTTTATACGCAGGTCCCACCGCCCGGGTACTGCAAGCCGGCTTTCTCTCTGACCCATTCCCTCTAACGAATGGTACGAGGCAGGGATGCCCCCTGTCGCCGCTACTATACGTCCTAGCCCTGGAACCACTACTGGTTCAAATTAGGCAGCGAGAGGGTATCCGCGGAATTGAGGTACATGGCAGGGAAGTTAAAATTAGTGCATTTGCGGATGACATACTCCTCTGTGTTTCTAAACCAGAGCAATCGCTCCCACTTATCTTAGACCTCATAAAAGAATACGGGAGTGCGGCTCAACCAACAAACACTCACCGCACTTAAAAAAGACCACAATTTTGAATGGAGGGCAGACACGATAAAATACTTAGGACTGACCTTCACAAAAAACCCTACAGAAACCTTCCCTGCAAACTATGTCAGAGTGTGGGGAGACTACCGCCAACTAATGAAAAAATGGAGCACCCTGTTTCTGACATGGACAGAGAGAGTAGCAACAGTTAAGATGTCCATACTCCCGAGGCTTCAATACCTGTTCAGAAACTTACCAATTCAGGTACCTATGTCCTACCTTAGAGACACACAAAAAGACGTTAATAGATTTGTGTGGGGGGGCCAAAAAGCTCGAGTGCAGAGAATACTGCTACAAACACCGGTGAGACAGGGTGGCCTTGCCTTACCGGACATCAAGACATATTACCAAGCAGCGCTATTAGCAACAACCCTTCCCCACTTCACAAACACGGCTTTACCGCAATGGGTGCTTATGGAAAACAGGCCATAAAACCCTTTGATGTACCCACCATAATGTGGCTCCCTAAAAAATTTCGACCAGAAACTCCACAGATGCCATCGCAGCTAAAAATAGCAGTCAGGGCTTGGGACAAGCTTAGACATAAACTGGTAACACCTACCCCTCTATCGCCAGCCACCCCGCTCAACACTATCACATACTGCATCCCAACCTTTAACGCCAAGCCATGGATAGCTAAAGGGGTCACATATTTGCAAATACTTGCGCATAACAAACTAAAAACCTTCCCAACTCTCCAAAAGGAATTCCACATACCAGAGGCCTCCCAATTCTCCCATATACAGTTAAGCTCATTCATACGTAAACACACAGGGCAGTCCTCTGCCCCAGATGACAACCCCCTCGGTATGACGAAATGGGAACAAACAACCACTAGAGGTTCATGGGCACCGACATTTAAGCCACTATCCTGGTGTTATCAACTCATCCGACCCACACAACACTTTGCAGATTCTAATCCAGCCAAGCACTGGGCACAAGACCTACAATGCCACATAAGTAAAGATCAGTGGGAGCGGGCTATAGTGACGACCAAAAAACTAATAAAGTCGGAGGTGCTATTGGAGCAATATAGGAAGACCCTATATAGGTGGTACATGGTCCCCATTCGCTTACACAAACTATACCCAGGTTCATCCCCGGAGTGCTGGAGGTGCGGAAAGGGAGAGGGTACAGTACTTCATATATGGTGGCAATGTGAACTAGTCACCAGCTTCTGGCGCAACATACACTGCCTGATTCGAGCCGCAACAGGCACCAAGCTCCCCTCCACACCCATAACAAGTCTCCTACTACACATGCCAAGCAATATACCTAAAGGGATACAGAAATTAGCTTTCCACATCCTCTTGACAGCTCAGAGGGCAATAGCTAGGTTGTGGAAATCTCAACAACCACCACTGGTGGCAGAGGTCTGCAGGGACATTGATACACAACACCTATATGAAACCTGCTACCGAGGGGTCCTTCCCTTAACAGACACAGCAGTTGAAGCATGGAGGCTGTGGGAAGTGAGGGGAACAGGAGACACACCCGACGGCTAAACTACTAGATGTACTCGACTCCCAGGGTCGATCACCAGATAACGATAGACAAGCGAACAACAATACACCATGTTAGGGACAAATGTAGAAGTGGTCAGACGTACGAACTTAGAACTTAGAAAATGTATGTAGGAAAATGACACACCCGGAGATCTCAAAAATTGTACATTGTGAATGTAAACATTGATGTAAAAAAACTTGGTATGGACCCCCTCCCCCCCCCCGCTTTCGTTCTGTACCCCCTCCCCTCCCCCATGTCATGTCTGTGTTTACGGCATTGCCAAGATGAAAACCAATAAAAATCTTTAAATGGAAAAAAAAAAAAAAACGGCAAATATGAAGCCTCCTGTTTTGACATAAAATGAGGCATTATTCTAGCTTTAGTAAAGGAATAATCTAAATGTTATCAACGACAAGAGGAGAATATTTTCCCTCCCTTAATATCTCTTTTCCCACCCTTTGGGTAAGTTACTAGATAGTTCCAGCGTTAGTCTTATGCACCATATGCCATAGGTAAAACATTCTAGTAATCATATTCAGGAATTTATTGTTTTCTCACCAATACTTATTATTGATAGTATGCTACTGATTAATGTTAACTATATGTAATTAATAGACTTGATTTTCTTTGGTAAGAGAATCTATACTTTCATGGAATTCTCTGTTTCCTTCTAGTGTGAAGACTTTTCTATGGTTGTTATAACATGGAGCCTGCCTACAGCTCAACAGTTCTCGGTTTACAGGGTTTGTCAAGTACAGGACCATCAGCTTTGTCTATTGTTCATAAAGTTACACTGTTTACATGGTTGATCTATGCTAGTCTCGGCTACAGCAAGAAACAGGAGTCGGAAGGAGCTTGATGACACAGATTGGTTACATTTTTTACATCATTGTTAATGGTTTCTTTGCTGCTGGGAGGTTCAGTAAAGAAAGATTAAGCAAATATTCGTCTGTCGTTAATAACATTTAGATTATTCCTTCACTAAAGCTAGAAAAATCCTGAATTTTTATATAAAGCAAAAATTTGAGAATTCTACATTGCTGCATTCTGGTAAAATCTAGTCTTGTAAAGATATTGGAACAGGCCACCCAAAGGGTGTCAGATTGGGAGGTTTGTTTATTTCTCTCTTTTAAATGCACTATACGTGATTTGAGTTAATAAAGTGTCAATTTTAGACGCGAAAAGCATTTAGTGCCCTGATAGGTTTCTGTTTCCCCCTTTCATGCAGGTAATTTGTTATTCTGTGCACAGAATTTTTGGTCTTTTGTGCATTCATTAACCAACTCATACTCCTGAATGAGTTTTACAGTGTTTTCAACTATGTTGCATTATGATTGAATAAACCAGTACTTCTAAGGATTTTCTTTATCCAATAACCCCCAGAATTCAACGCTACCGCATAGTGGCATTATCTATGCTTTCCTGAATTAGAAATGTTAGTCAAATATAAGCCTCCTGCTCATGCCCTCCTCCCCCAAATAATTTTTTTATTTTATCCAAATATTTACCATTTAGCTACAGTTTGACTTTTCACTTGTTGATGCACTGTACACCATCAAAATAAAAAGTATTAACTAAGTCTATACCCTCAAGGGGAAAACAAATGACTTAAAAACAGGCATGGAATGTATTTGACACAAAAATGTACGGTCACAGTCTGAGGAGATTACAAAGTTTGATTATAAAATATACTGGAAAGCACATGGCGATGAATGCTTGTTGAATTGGAAACAAATGGATAATAGGTAGTAGGTTTTACCTTTTCCACGCACCATGAATTTCTATGCAAATATTTCTATTCTTTTGTAGATATCAATATTAACAGATAAGAAAAACAAAAGCAAACAAAATGGATTACTGCAAAATGTATAGTTCAGGGTTAAATAGTTTCCATTCTTCACTGCTAATGTTTTATCTATCCTGTGTAAACTAAAGAAAATATTTCTAAGCCATAGCATATTTAACCCCTTAAGGACCAGACTGTTTTGGCCATTATTATTATTATTATTTATATAGCACCATCAGATTCCATAGCGCTGTTGTGCGTTAAGGACCAGGGCTGTTTTAACACTTTTGTGGTGTTTGCGTTAGCTGTAATTCTCCTCTCTCTCTCATTTACGGTTCCCATACAAATTATATATTTTTTTTCAGGACAAGAAGGGCTTTCTTTACATACCATGATTTGTATCATGTCATATTTTACTTAAAAAAAAAAAAAATAGTGAAAAACTGAAGAAAAAAAACCAAATCATGTTTTGGACTTTTACTTGAAAAAAACTTATCTACATAAGCTTCTCACTGGGATTTTAAAAGTGAGAAGATATCAGCGTCCATAGGAAAGCATTGAGAATGCTTTCCTATGGACTGACCGAATGCGCGTGCGGCTCTTGCCACGCATGCGCATTCAGCCGATGACATCCAAAGGAGGAGGAGAGTCCCCCGCGCCGAGGGAGTCCGGCGCTGGAGAAAGGTAAGTGTTTAACCGCCTTCCTCTAACTTCAGCCTGGCGGGAGGGGGGCCATGAGGGTGGGGCACCCTCAGGGCACTTTAGTGGTCCTTTAATTATGTAAAAACTTTACATAAATATGCACTAGGAATTTAAATATATACACATATTTATATATTTGAAGTCTACGTGTATATTTATGAGATTATCTATGTAATTTTGTATATGGATATATATATATATATATATATATATATATATATATATCTCTCTCTAAAAATACCGTTAGATATATATAGTTTTTGAAAACTTGTTTTTAAAAATATCTTGAGTGTGTGTATATGTGTATATATATATATATATATATATATATACACACACACACACACATATACATACACACACACACGTAATTTAATTATAAGTGTATTTTTATATTAATATATGTATATATAAAAATACACTTAGTTTGACATTATGTATTAAAGAGATTATATATAATTTTTTTTACATGGATTGATTTTTTTTTGAAAGTTTATTTTTTCATTTTACACTGGCAGGGAGATACAGAGGCACCTATTGCGGCCATGTGACCATTAGAGTGATCACGTGGCCGCGGGGGCCTAATTCGCCGAGGGGGGGGACTGTCTGGGCTGACAGGCAGTCCCCCCGGCCGGGAACGGCAGCGATCAAGTAAGTACATGATACCGTTATGACGGTTCAAGACAGTCACCGGTTCTCATGGGGTTGTTTCCGGTGACGATCATGAACCGTCATCGGTCCTTAAGGTGTTAAAGAATCAAAAAAAATAAAATAAATATATATATATTTATTATATATACACACACATATATAAATAAAATGTGGTCATTCTATTTTGTTGGTATAATTGCTCTTTAACACAGACAAAACAAATGACATGCTTTTCTGTACACACAGGCAAATAATGGGACAACTGAAATATCTGTTAAATAAAACAAAAAAAGAGTAATACAAATGTACACAACATTAATCTCTCCCAGGAGATCTTCATTGCTTACTAATGCCTCTCTCTTAATAGGTGTAGCTACTGGACCTTCAAAGAGATTCAAATTGAGATGTACTACCCCTCCACCCCACCTGTATGCTATAGGAGCACAAATATTCAACAATGCAGTTCACTTAAACAGTGAAACTAGTTTGAACTGCTAAGAGGTTGGTTTTTAGTTTAAAATCAATGCAAATATGATAAAATAGCATTTTAACTACTTCAGTTCACTTTTCTCTCTTTGTAACAGAAGTTTTTTTCCAGTGGTGCCATTATGCAGAGATATTAATGACAATATGAAAATAGTCTAACAGACAAAACCAGTTTTGAGAAAATATAATTTCAAACTGAAAATCACACACTGCCTTGGATGTGCTCAATTACAGTGCTTAATTACGACTGTGAAAGGAAAGGACCCCCCCTTCAAACAGAGATGAGAACATAAATAGCATAAACTGAATGGGTCGACATATGGAAATATAAGGAAGGGAAGCTAGAACAATGAGATAAAAAAAAAAAAAAAAGAGTGAGAGGAAAACATTGGGCCATGATAATTTTGCCATCAACAAAACAAACAAAAAAAAACACGTAGAGTTTAATATATGAATACGTACCTGTGCAAGTCGCACCATGAACAGGTTGTTTGGGTCTTTTGCATGATACTGTGCCAACTGCCTCAGCATGGCAGCCAAGCGAGCATTGTTTGTACCTATGAAATACATTGTTTTAGTGTGTGAAAAAAAAAAGGCAGCAAATCTTCAGACAGAATAACAAGTACATATGAAACCATCTTACCGCTGCCCACCAGCCCCATAGCAAAAATAGAGTTGTAGGAAACCTCAGGGTCTGCGTCATGAGAGAATTTGCTTAGGGTATCCAAGATGTTTAGCCTTGGATTTGAAACGGATATAAGCGCCAGAGCCAAGGGTACTGCTCTGCGCAGTGTGGGTTCACCATACCTTAACTGCAGGAAAGAGGGAATAGTTAAGACTGTATAAAAAGAGGGGAGATATTAGATGCATTTTAGTAGTTTTTAAGTCTTCTCTTTTTAATCCACCCTTTAAAACCTTAAAAAAAAAAAAAAAAAAGTGTTAAAAACAAAAAACAAAAAACCATACTTAAAACCCAGCACCTCTGTCGAACATCATTTCTGCCCTTGCACAGTCCAATCCAATGCTTCTCATAGGGAAGCATTTGATTGGACTGTTTTGCTAGCCCAGAGTGCATTTGCGTGCTCTGATGTGGTATGGGGAGGGATATTTTTTTTTTTTATTATTCAAAATAAGCAATGCAGGGAGCTAGGACGGAGGGGAAAGCAAGTTTCCCCTGCAGGTGTGCACCCCCCCCCCCGGGGGTTAAACACTTACCTTTCTCTAGCGCCGAGCTCCCTCGGCACTTGGGAACTCTCCTCCCTCTGCCAACGCCTAATGCACATGTGCAGCAAGAGACGTCAGTGAGACAGCCACTAGAGGCTGGATTAACCCTTGTGTAAACAGCTACAGCTGCAGGGTTAACACTAGAGGGACCTGGCACCCAGACCACTTCATTGAGCTGAAGGGGTCTGGGTGCCTATAGTGGTCCTTTAAACACTACACATTGCAAACCCCTACCACCATGACCACTTCAAATCATTGTACCCGGTAATAATAATAATAAAAACAAAACTCATCTAACACTATCAATACAGCTACAGCAGAATACATTTTATTACCAGGTGTCCAAAGGTACGTAATGCCATTTCTGAACCGATTTCTTCTCCCATTGCAATAAGAGCAATACCTAGAACTGCTACACCCTGCATTAAAGACAAAGACAGTTACTATATAGAATATTAACAGGATAATGGTGTACTAATTGAGATTTCATTTAAGGTTTCAAAGGATTGAATAGAAATGAACACTCCTTCATAAATGGAAATCTTTGATTATTCAATACATTATCATTCTTTTCACAGAACCACAAGACTAGATTTCAGTTTTATGTGAAATAAAAAGCATATCCTTGTGCTTATACCCTCCCAGCTTGTTTAATGGTATGTCATTTGTATGCTGCATCATAGATTTATACAGTCCGTACCATGATCTATTATCTAATACCAATTGTCCATTGGTCACAGATATCAGTCACTCAGACACTGCTGATTTCAAACCTCATTGAAGTGCCCCAATGATAATTGTGGTGCAATGGCATAGTCGCCAGGACTAAATTTAAACTTGCCAATTGTTAGTGAAAAGTGAGGCCTGTTTAAAACACACTTTCTCTTTTTAAAGTAGACAGACAATCTCACCTGATGAGACCCCATATCAGCAGCAGCCTCTTTCTTTTCCTTTTTGTCTTTTTTCTCCTCTTCCTTTTCCTTGGTGTCAAAGTGTTCACTGCATATATGAAGAAGTTGCTGAACTTTCAAGACATTTCCAGATCCTAGTAAGAAGTAAGGCAGGTTACATTATTCCAAAATATGGTTGGCCAGATCCACCATGTTTTCATTTGGGCACATCCCTTAATGTTGGCAGGGTGCACTGCATTTTGTTGTGGTCACATGTTGTAGGTTTCATCAACAATGTATGACTACATCCCTTCTGCCATGTGTCCAGAACCATGTTGGACATGGGAAGCCTATTGTAGAACAATATACACACACAAAAAAGTATGTCCCAAAGTAGTATACAACAGCTCAAAACACCTGTGAGGTATCCTTCACACACACAATAATAATACACAACAAATAGGTGGAGCTGTGAACAGAAAATACTTCCCTCTATTCAAGATTACAGCAAAAAAAGCTGAAACAGAAGGAGATACAATAGTGTAAATCTGACAAATCGAAATTTGATACTATTTCTTTAAATAGCACACTCACAAAAGCAGAGCCATAAGGTAACCTTGCTCTGGTCTGGATATCAATAGGATCCTTGAGGGGAGATCCAAGCCCCACTCCAGTTGATAAGAATGGTATTCAGGAACAATAAATACTTAAAAGTTTTTAATTTATTCCAAAGATAAAACAAAAGCATATAAAAAAGTCCAATAGTCACCAAAACGCGTTCCGCCGGATAGGCTTCCTCAGTTGGTGATACCTATCCAGCGAAACGCGTTTTGGTGACTATTGGACTTTTTTTTTTTAAATGCTTTTGGTTTATCTTTGGAATAAATTAAACAATTTTAAGTATTTATTGTTCCTGAATACCCTTATCAACTGGAGTGGGGCTTGGATCTCCCCTTAAGGATCCTATTGATATCCAGACCAGAGCCAGGTTACCTTATGGCTCTGCTTTTGTGAGTGTGCTATTTAAAGACATAGTATCAAATTTCGTTTTGTCAGATTTACACTATTGTATCTCCCTCTGTTTCTTTTTCAGCTTTTTTTGCTGTAATCTTGGAGAGGGAAGTATTTTCTGTTCACAGCTCCACCTATTTGTTGTGTATTACTATTGTAGAACAAGCCTACACACCAAAGTACACTCAGCTCTTACCTGCATATGCACAGATATCAACAAGTGTGTTTGCAAAGCTGCGGAATGGTTCAGACACCACCTCTAAAGCTGCAAGGATTGCCTCAATAGCCTCGCCCTTTCCTGAAACAGAAATCATTTGTAAGGAGCACCATCCAAACATTGTACATACAGTTTTTGGGATATATAATCCTTAACAAGTCTCTTCACCTAAATGATTTAGTCCCAATCCAAGAGGTAGCCAGCGAGCAAATGTGTCCTTCAGTTCCTGCTCAGTTTTCTCCATGATGGTTTGCAGAATTGTGGAGGTTACATCTCCATTACAAGATCCCACAGCAATCATTCCACAAGCCAAAGCAGTTACCCCAACTACCTACCGAAGAGTAAAAAAATTGTAAGTACATTGAGAGAAATATTGTCTTTATCAGGTTATAAAAACTAGAGACTTTACTTACTTCCATGGTGGATTTTGAATCTCCCATAACTGGAAGTAGCAAAGTCAGAACATCCTCACGGTTCGACCCAGCATATGCAAGACCCAACCTAGAAACAATGAAAGGAAGGGACAGACTAGATATAATAGTAGAGAGATGGCATTTGAAGTAATGGCTAATCTCAGTGCAAACAAAGACAAATACAAGTCAATCACACTTTCCTTCTTAAATTAGGAAACTAGTAGTAAGATCAGAAAATTAAGCTGCCCATTTGGCAGAGCAGTAAACCAAGAGAATCAAATTGTATCCACTCACCCAAAAATGGAGCCAATGCGCATTGTGTTGCTATTGTGCAAAACATAATCTGATAATAGTGCCAGAGCTGGATCACACTCATTCCTCACACCAGAGTTCACAATTCCACAGGCCAGAAGAGCTCCAGACTGGAAAAACAAAAACAAAAAAAACACAATGTAAATGCTTTCTGTTCACTATCCCTTAATTCTCCATTTGGAGAATTCTCCTCACTAATTGTTCTTTAAAAACAACCCAAACCGAACACACTGCTTTAAAAATAAAAATAAATTAGTTTTAAACTTCCCTTATTGCACAATGTGTTTACTTTAGAACTGCTTCATTCCTGCTCTGTTAATTGCTTGCTGAAGCCTGAAACAGCCCATAGTGTGGGATTAAAGCTTATTGAAAAGAGCAGGGAATAAAATCTAAGGTAGCATCCTTGGCTGCATTATTGTTTGAAAATGATACCATTTTTCATGGAGGCTCTAAAAGTCAGATTTATGGAAGTTGTGGCTAGGGCTGCATATATGAAATGGTTTACCTCGTAAACTGCAGAGAATGAGCAATGATACTGCAGGGGTATGATGTATACACCAAAACTGCCCCAAAGCAAAAAATTGTTTTAGTGCCAAGAGAATACCTTTAAGTAAAATTACTGTAATTGGTAAAGAGGTCTTTATGTACAATTCTAAAAAGGCTTATTACAATACTTTAAATTCATCCTACACATATCAATTGTTAAAGAGGAATTGTCTCTTCCCTGAAATTTACATCATAAAATTAAAAACAAATTGTAAATAGCCTATACATTGTGTTAAAGTTTGTTTGTGAGATGATTTGCTTTCTTTTAAATTTATATTGAAGCAAATCACATCACATCCAGTTCAGGTAAGTTAAAGTCAGGACAAACCTTGCACATAAAGAGAAGAGAAACATTATTTCATATGTCTTCTCTGTATGTCTGCTCAATGCGAACTGACAAGAACAGCTTATAACAATGACCAACAGGGAGCCAAGATGGAGACACTCAATTGCCAGATAAATTGATGTGGATTTCTATATTTAACTTTATGTATATCCCAAAAATTCTCACTTCAAAACTATTTTAATATAATACTCCTTTCAGCAAGTCCTGGTACGTGACAGGCCCTTTGTATCTTTTTTTTATTTATTTTATTTTTACTGCAAAGCTTTGCTCTTTCTTGGTAAGTGGGTAGAATTATATAATTACATCCTTCATTAAATGTAATGAAAAATGGACTGGGAGGTCAACTAATATCTCTATGAACATACAAAATCCCAATAGGTCCACAATGTAATGCGTGTTTATAATGGCCAGATCATGTTATAAATTCTAGATTGTAAACTCATTTGAGCTTATCAACCTATTGTTCCTGTAACATTTCGGAATTGTCTCACTTATTGCAAATCTTCCCCCTTTATTATATTGTAAAGAGCTGCAGAATAAAAGGTGCTTCTCCGAGTTTGTTTTTTTTTGGAAAATGTATGAATGGGGCTTTGTTTTTGCTACTATGGGAATTTACAGATAGTTCCCAAAATTCTTTATTTGGCTCAGTCATACTATGTTTCAGTAAAACAGTGATGCTTATATATAATTAGTATTCATTTTAATGATTTATTTTACAAATTTGTCAGTCAGACTCACCTTGATATAATCCTCAGAGGAGTATAAGTACTTGTCTATCTGGGTCAAGCCTCCATCCACATCCCAGAGAAGGATCATTCCCAAAGAAGCTGCAGCACTGAGCATACCTGGAGGACAATACAAAGTAAGGACATACATATTTTACTAATGCCCCGTTTGTTATTTCTCAGAATATAGGACTCACCCACACATTTTAATAAAAATTTGTGAGATAATAAAACAACCTGTACCACACTACGTATGAGCCCCAGCATTGAAGCATTGCCGTGGTAACACATGACAATGCTCTGGTGCTCCTGAGAGAGGGGCCTACATCACAGCTGTATACACAGTATAGAAGACACATTTGGCATATAGGATGCAGACATTTTTTAAACCTCACGTTTTGGGGTTTAAAAAAAATAAAATAAACTTAAAAAACCCCACCTCCCAAACTTTGTCCTACGTTTAGAAAAATATTGTATATTTGCAAGAAGATCATACATTTATACAGGACACTTGTTCTAAATAATTTAGCTCAAGCGCACATTACAATGGTTTTAAAATATAGACACAGATCTCGCATGTCAAGGTAAAAAAATAAATAAACACACAAAATCGGGCACTGCTCGGCTTGTAAGTTGAGCAATAATCAGCCAATGAGTACAATGCTGCCATGCACAAATTCTCCTGCAGAAGAAAACCCGAAGTAAATGCTGCAAGTGTCCTATAAGAAATGACTGCAATCTTAATGATTTAATTACAGTGCACTTTTGTAAGCAGAGCCCTGAAAAAACATGGATGTCCTGCAGTGCCTTTGATGTGATACTACATAGTGAATGTAAGTAGGTATAAGCCAAAACCACCAGAGGGTGCCTCACCGTGGTCCTTGTTCTTATAAAGCCACTTGTTTCCATCATCCGTTAGCAGCTTGTCTTGACCAAAAGCTGCATTGACAAATCCATTCACGAACGAGGAGGCCAAATTCATCCGGGCTGAATCCACCTGTGAACCACTGCCTCCAAATCCTTCAGGTAGAAATGGAAAACAATTACATGGACTAATGCAATATTAATTGGAGAAACCAAAAGGTGTAATTCTTCAAAAGTTTATTAGTTTGGTTTAACTAATTGTTTACGTTTATAACAGGCACCAACCTGCACAGAATATATGTAATTGTCACTAAACTTGTTCAAATTTTCTTTTTTTTTTTTATCTGCAAAGCACTTCGAAATACATCTTACTTTAGTAATACTCCAATCTAGGACAGTACATGAGCCCTTAAATCTTGTAAAACAGCTCCACCTTCTGGCAATATTTATTTTGTTTTTATTACATGTAGGGTGCCAATGTTAAAGAGCCAGATTATGCAGCATAAGGCACCATAACTTCTAAATCTCAATTAAGTTGTTATAGTACCAGGAGGCCTTGGCACACTTACCTCAAGGAGTTAAAAACTGTTCGCGAACGGTTTAACCTCAAAAGTTGCATCAAGCGCCACTCAGCTCCCCCGGCAGCATCTGTCTCTCAGCCAACCAGTGACTTTCCATTCATAAAACTGGCTTGGAAAGAAATGTACCTTTTCCAAACCAAATTTATGAATGGGGAGTCACTGGTTGGCTGAAAGCTTTTCACTTTTTTACAAGCCGGATACCGCCTGGGGGAAGAGATGCAAGCAGCCCTGGAGGCAACTTTGGAGTTAAACAATTTGGGTAATGTACGCCGGGGGAGAAGGGGCTTTCTGGCCCCATATCAATTTTATTTAGATTAAGTTGTTTTGGTGCCTTTACACTTTGGCTCACAATTAGTTTTCAGAAATGTGTACAACAGGAAAGGAGACAAGTAAAAAAGGCTCTCAATACACATCTAAAATAATAAAAAACTTAAAACCTATAAAGCAGCTCCCTTATAAAGTACAATAGCCCATAGAACACTAAAAATACAATAATACAAAAAAGGGTGCGCTGTGTCTTTAAGACAAAAAAATAGTGCAATGTTCCTTTAAAAACACTCCAGTGCTTTAAAAAAACACACAAACTATTTGATAAATGTGTTGCTATTACACACTCTACAATAGTGCAAAAAAGTGCAAATGTGCAAATATCACTTTTATATCAGTGTATTAGTGAAAATTGGTAGTTTTCAAATGCCACTTTTATATCAGTGTATTGGTGAAAAATTGGTACAAAAAACGGAGCACTTACAATACCCCGCTATATGTACCTTAGGTCTGGTTACTCCAGTTGTACATACATATGTATAAAAAATAAACGAGAACATAGTGTAATACAGTATTACAAATTGTATTGTTAGAACAATGTATAGTGTTAAACTCACAAGTGGAGAGCAGAGAAGTCTGCTCTAACTTTATCAGTTCTTGTATAAAGCCAAAGGTCATAGGACGGCAGCAAGTTGAAAGAAACACTTTTTTATTTCCAATAAATCTTCACAGTATTAAAAATAGTCCCCCAAGTGGTATCACTTTGCTCACTCAGTCTCTCTTTGGAAGGCGTACTGCATACAGTTTCGCTGCCGGCTGAGCCGTGAAGATTTATTGGAAATAAAAAAGTGTTTCTTTCAAGTTGCTGCCGTCCTATGACCTTTGGCTTTATACAAGAAGTGGATAAAGTTAGAGCAGACTTCTCTGCTCTCCACTTGTGAGTTTAACACTATACATTGTTCTAACAACACAATTTGTAATACTGTATTACACTATGTTCTCTTATTTATTTTTTATACATATGTATGTACAACTGGAGTAACCAGACCTAAGGTACATATAGCGGGGTATTGTAAGTGCTCCGTTTTTTCTACCAATTTTTCACCAATACACTGATATAAAAGTGGCATTTGAAAACTACCAATTTTCACTAATACACTGATATAAAAGTGATATTTGCACTATTGTAGAGTGTGTAATAGCAACACATTTATCAAATAGAGTTTGTGTGTTTTTTAAAGCAACATTGCACTATTTTTTGTCTTAAAGACACAGCGCACCCTTTTTTGTATTATCACAATTAGTTTTAATAGAACAGGCCAAGCACCATAACCACTACAGCTTATTTTAGAACAGTTGCCGCAAGGACAGAGGGACACTATAGTGTTAGAACAGCTTTAAAATTTGCCATTTACACAAGATTAAAGATTGCATAATTTGATTCACAAATAACTAGCAATATATACTTTTCCAAAAATGCTAATAAATGAGATAAGAAAAGATAAAAGTGCATTTGCATTCAGAAGGCAAGTGCACTCCTCCCCTCAGGTATCCACAGCCCGATTCCCTGCTCACCTACTGCTAGTGTAAACATTCCAGTACCATTATCAATTTCATCCATATTTGAACAACAGTGATAGACTAGCAAGTCAACCTAGAATCAAGGTCCATTGCGCAACCTACCAGAACTCCAACTGCAAATGTGAAGATTACAATTTAATCTCTGAAGAGAAATTGAAACCAAGTAATTAAACTAGATAATGTGCTTTTATTTCACTAAAAGGAAACACTTAGTTGCCCATTTCCACACAAACAGATTTGTTTGCTTTTATGAGTTCACAACACCACCCTTGTATCCTGTTAGTTATTGTACGAACATCCATTTCATATAATCCCTCAGTGCGAGTCCAACTTACTGTTATTTTCCAGATGTGTCTTGTAAATATCATCTGGGACTTTGGGCTCCATGATATCCAGCTGAGGAATACAAGCAGGATATTAGATAGAGGTATAGAACTACAGAGAGCAATACAATGTACAAAAGAACCAGGAATTAGGGTGAAGCGACATGAGTAAATTACTTCACTCCGCCACTGCACCAAGGACAGCATGACAAGCCGTCTCACAGTAAAAGTGCCTCCCACATAACCAAAAAAAAAAAAAACACATGGAGATGGAAATGCAATAAAAACATTGTCTGTGTCACACACAGACTAAGGGGAAAAAAATAAATGGACAGTAGGAGAAATAAATGGATAGCATTGCTACATACCTCACGTGCCAGAGCCAGGAAATTACTGTTAAGTTGCACATTAGACATGATCTCTGTTAAATCTTCATACTCCTCCACATCCTCATTTAGGCCCAAATAGACTCCATGCCGGCCCAACATGAAGGCCATCTGTTTCTGTACAACACTGTGGACAAAAAAAGTTTACAAGTATAAAACCAAACGCTGCACACACCATTAAAGATAACTGGGGTTTATATAATCTTAAAGGACAACTTCACACCCATAAAGTTCTTTAAGGGTGAGGAGTATACTTTTCTTAAGAACAGTTTATAAAAGTGGCTATTTCTTTTCATTTAGAGATTGGCACTTTTATAAATAAACAGCCGGGGAGGTGTGGGTTCTTCCTGCTTCAGTTAGCTACCCTGAATGAAAAGAGGGAGAGGGCTTGCAAAGGAAAGTTCTTAAGACCTGTATCTTTTGCAAAAGATATACACCATATGATAACATGCATGAATGTATTCATTGGGGTGTATCTGCTAAACAGTGATTTATATTCCCCCCTCCCAAAAAAAATGTGCGGTGACGTGTTCCTTTAACTTTAGGAAACAGTAAAGAAAACAGGCGAACAATGATCTGCAACCCCCCCATCAATATAAAACAACTTTCTGGCTCCCCAAGCAGGCAGACTTTAAGTGGACATAAAACTTACACATCCTTGCAAGAGGTAAAGATGTCTTCCACTAGCTCCATGTCATTGAGGATCAATGCAAGTCGCAAAGCTTCTGGGTAGCGGTTGAACTTGCGAAAGATTGAGAGTGCACATCGCAAGAGAGCAGAGTTTTCAGGCTCAGGTACATAGCTCACACAACTGTAGGAAAGGAAGAAAAAAAAAAATTAGGTTGTCCAATTCAGTGTTTTTCTTGACATTTATAATACATAAAAATACGTAAAGCATGCTCACTGGGAGGTCAAGGATCAAAAACTGACTCACCTGGTCAGGTACAGACAAACTTTAGCATATGCATTGTCGTCAATGTACTTTTCCAACATGTCCATCTGCTCTATCTCCATGAGAAGATCACAGGCCTCATGCTCTGCATTGTGCGCCATATTATATGGGACAATCTCCTTCACCAAGGTCAGTAGTTTTTCACGCTGCGATTTGTCAGCTTCTTCTACTTCCTGCCATTCCTTGGCAACTTCTCCAGCCAAATGCCTGAGACAATAAGATATGGGCTCAGTTGGATACACATAAAGTCTGTATACGTGGCTTCCTTCTAGATACCTTATAGTACCAACATCTGAAGGTGCACCATGTCCTTCCTATTTTACAATTTTCACCCCTCTAAATCACATTTCATAATCAGTTATTTCCAAGTGTTCAAAACAAAGTAACATTTCTAGAATGCCATTTAACACTCCTACATACACAATTATTTATCTACCTCAAACAGATTTGAGGGAAAAACATACTTGTGAGAAAGGTCATATTTAAAATGAATATAAAATACATTAAATCCTTCAAAAACCATTTGCTTGCATCTCACCTGACATATTCATGTCCCCATGATGCCAGCTCCTCTTGGGAACCAAGCAGTCTGTACTTCAGACACTCCCTCTCACCGCTCATAGTCATGGCAAGAACAGAAATGATATCAGCAGCAAAACGCTAAAAGAGGAGAATGATTGTAAAGGACCATTGCAGGATACACCCTGAAAATTACTAGATTTGCCCCAAACACGAAAAAGGGGTTAAATTACAGGCACTCACACGATACAGCTACATGAAGAGGTTTCTTAGAACATCTAATAAATGTCAACAGCTAAACTAAGCAAAAAAAATACTACAAAAATTATATACAGAAATAACTTAAAGGGACACTGTAGTCACTATAACCACTTTGTCTCTTTAAATTGGTTATAGTGGCCTGGCACTGTCCCTCCATTCAGTGTTGCACAATGTTTGTGCAGTATGCCACAAAATAAGAGTCCCTGGCCACCCACCGTCCGGCCCCTTCTGTATGTGTAGCTAAGGCAGAGATTACACACTTCCTTGTTGTCATACCCATCCATACTGTCAGTTGGAGCTCCGACAGGTTAAAAGCAGTCAGCTGGCACTCTCAGCCAATCACAGCTGCCCATTGCCTCTCAGGGTAATACTTCCTTATTAGCCAAAGCAGCACAGAGTGGATAGACTGCCGTGGACTCTTGTTTAGCATTAAAACATTACAACATTAAAAACTGTTTAATGCTGAAAGAAATGATGGTACCAGGGGACTCCAGACACTATAACCAGTTTAATGAGATGAAGCAGATACAGTGCCTACGGTGTCCCTTTAAAGGACCTATAACTTATGCTCATACACAACAAAAACAAAACAAAATGCTATTTCATAGACATTGCACTAGCAAATTTATAGATGTTTCTGACAAAATAGTCCAATCCTATGTCATACCGAAATCTAGATTTTGAACATTGGCTGTGTTGACTCAATAGCAAAGGAAGAGAAACTCTCGTCACTGCCAGTTTCCCAGGTGGGGAGGAGAGTTCCAGCAAGAGAAGACTTGCAGCCAGGGTGGATAAAAAGCAATGATTTAAAAAAAAAAAAAAAGGATTTTTACCAGCCAAAAGTTATAACATATGGTTGCAGCGCTCATTTGCTGCACCTCTTAGCCAAAGACTTAAGTGTTCCAGAAATAAAGACTAATGTTGTTGAAATTGCTAAATACTTCCGTAACAATCATTTTGCTGCAGCAGCTCTGAAAAGGATGGGTGGAACCAAGCTAACGCTCCCACAAGATGTTAGATGGAACTCTGTGGTGGGCTGTTTTGAGCAGTATATCAAGAACTGGCCTATTCTGATAACAGTTTGTGAACAAAATCAAGATAAAATAGATGGCACTGTCACGGCCAAAATCCTCAACATTGGGCTTAAGAGAAATGTTGAACATATGCTGAGCATCCTGAAACCCATCTCTGAAGCTTTAAACAAAATACAGAAAAATAGCTGTTTTATTGCTGATGCTGTTGAAATTTGGCAGGAACTGAGTGAACATTTAAAAAACAGAACTACACATGGACAGAATTAAATTACACACATTAAAAAAAACAAATGGGACAAGTACTGTCTCCAGCTCATTTTTTGGCAAATATTGCCAATATCCAGTACCAAGGTCAAAACTTAAGTGCTGAGGAAGAGGAGTTAGCTATGACATGGGTATCCAGCAATCATCCATCTGTAATGCCAACTATAATAAACTTCAAAGCTAAGGGGGAACCATTCAAGAAATATATGTTTGCTGAAGATATTTTAAAGAAAGTCACACCAGTGAACTGGTGGAAGTCACTTAAGCACTTGGATTTAGAGACTGATCAAGTAATGATTTTACTTTTAACAGCAGTAGCTTCTTCTGCAGGCACAGAAAGAATATTCTCTTCCTTTGGACTCATTCATTCTAAATTAAGAAATCGTTTGAGACCCGATAAAGCAGGAAAGCTTGTTTTTCTTTTCCAGATTATGAACAAAGAAGAAGATGACGAGTGAGCTACAGAGGACAGTATTTAAGTTTTTCATGCGTGGGCTGACAGTCTAAGTTTCTTAAAATATATATATATTTTGTTTAGCCAAATTAGTTAAACATGGATGTTTGTTTAAGCAAATAACATATGCTGTTAATGTTTCAGTTGAATAAATCTATTTAAATTGTTATTATTAAGGTAATGATTATTTTTCTCCTTCCTAAGTACAACAGAAAAGTTGTCCAAATATGAATGATTAACCTATTAAACTGGGGATAAAAAAAACTAATATGAAAAGTTGTTATTCTAAAAATCTTCATCTACTTGCATATTAAAGTTATACCAGCAAGAATTAGTCTTTATGTAGAAAACTATGATTTAAATCAAGCCTTACTGACTAGTGCTTTAAATCGAGATTTAACCCCTTAAGACCGGAGGGCGTATTATTACGTCCTCTAATAGGCGGCTCTAAACGCCGCCGGGCGTAATAGTACGCCCTCCGGTCTTTCTGTACTTACCCGGTCGCCGGCGGTCCCACGCCGGCGATCGCGGTGGGGGGGACTCCCAGGGAGCCCCCCGCGGCACGACCGTCCTCCAGGAAGCCCCCCGGCCGTGTGAGAGTGGGGTCCTAGCGAGGACCCCACAATCACATGGCCGGGGATAGCTGGCTTCTGTATTGCCAGCAGGGGGGCTGCCTGTAATGACAGGTGGTCCCCCTGCTGGCTGAAAATAAAAATGAAATAAATAAATAGTGTAAAAAAATAAATAATATATACTTAGATCATATATATATATTATATATATATGATCAAAGTATATACATACACATATACATACACACATGTACACCGTCTAGGTGTATTTTACTATTAATATATATATAATTATATATATATATTAATATCAAATTACACGTACACTGATACTGATTAAATATATATATATAATTATTGTTATATATATATTTATATATATTATAAAAAAAATTAAAATGTAAATACTTTAAAAATAAAATTACAAAAATAATTAAAAATAAATAATTAAAAAATATATAGATGTGTGTTATTTCGTTCTAACTGTATTGTGAAATTAATATATATATATATATATCAAAATACACATAGAGCGAAATAATATATATATTTATACACATAAATATATACGTATATATCACTATATATATACCTATATATAAATAAAAATATTTTAAAAAAATTATATAGATATATACATATATATACACATACGTATATATATACATATATTGATTCTACATATATATTTATGTAATATTTTACATAATTAGGTATCTTAATTAATTACAATTAGCAGGACCTGCATGACAACCCATGCCGAAAGTAAAGGGAATTTAATTTGCTAGCACTATATTTAACCCTATAACTTTCCGAGACACCATAAAACCTGTACATGGGGGGTACTGTTCTACTCGGGAGACTTCGCTGAACACAAATATTAGTGTTTCAAAACAGTAAAATGTATTACAACGATGATATCGCCAGTAAAAGTGACGTTTTTTGCATTTTTCACGCACAAACAGCATTAAACGGACAATATTATTGCTATGATACTTTTTACTGTTTTGAAACACAAATATTTGTGTTCAGTGAAGTCTCCCGAGTACAACAGTACCCCTCATGTACAGGTTTTATGGTGTTTTCAAAAGTTACAGCGTCAAATATAAGGCTTGTTTTCATTTTTTTCACATTAAAATTTGCCAGATTGGTTACGTTGCCTTTGAGACCCTATGGTAGCCCAAGAATGAAAATTACCCCTATGATGGCATACCATTTGCAATAGTAGACAACCCAAGGTATTGCAAACGGGGTATGTCCAGTCTTTTTTAGTAGCCACTTAGTCACAAACACTGGCCAAAATTGGCGTTTTTTTGCATTTTTCACACAAACAAATACTAACGCTAACTTTGGCCAGTGTTTGTGACCAAATGGCTACTAAAAAAGACTGGACATACCCCATTTGCAATACCTTGGGTTGTCTACTATTGCAAATGGTATGCCATTATGGGTGTAAATTTCATTCCTGGGCTACTATACAGTCTCAAAGGCAACGTAACCAATCTGGCGAATTTCAATTTCAAATGTAACGTGCTATATTTGACCCTGTAACTTCCCAAAACGCCATAAAACCTGTACATAGGGGGTACACACGTGAGACTTTGCTGAATACAAATATGTGTATTTTATTGCAGTAAAAGCAAACAGTATTATGACACTGACCGTTTAAATGTCATGTAGAACTAAAAAAATCCAATAAAATCGTATTTTCTCCCATTTTTTTCATATTAAATTATGTTTCATAGCTAAATATTTGATATTAAATGAAAGCCCTGTTTCCCCTGAATAAAATGATATATAATAAGGGTGGGTGCATTTACTATGAAAGAGGTGTATTACGGTTGGACAGACATGTAGCGCAAATGCCAGGTTTTGTTTACATTTTGTTTTGTTCACAACGTGTACATTTGGCTCCGTCCTTAAGGGGTTAAATCAGTTTGATTTAAAATCAAATCCACCCTGCTTGCAGCTGAAGAAAAATGTTAGTAAACATGTATTTCATGTATAGGGGTTCCATATGTATGTATTTTTTGGCTATATAAAGTTAGTGAGCCAGCTAAACAAAATCCATTCTCTTGAAGCTATGTTTCCTCATATATTTTCTCCCATAACTCTTCTTATTCCACTTTCAAAACCATTTCCAATTGATTAAGTACTGCACCTCTTATCCATCTACAAAAACTTACTTTGTTTTCTCCTGGGGTCATATTCTCATAGATCTCCTTTAACTTCCCAAAGTGTGGCCGAAGGAACTTTAGAGGTTTAGGAACAGATGTCATTGAGGTGGTAGAAGAGCGGATTTGCCGACGTAGCTCCTCCAGAGCTGGTCGGTATAAGGAGCTATCTTTTTCCTGTTGATTTTCAGATAACATGAAATGTTAGGGAAAACATAAAATCTAAACTCCATATTTAACATAAGGAAATGACCATTAATCCTACATATATTGCCGGCAAGGAAGTTAGCATCGCAACCTCAGCAGAAGGACTGTCTGTGGGTGGTCTCTTCTGCTGGTCCATGCAGAAGAATTGATTGACAGGTGGGAGAAAACCTTTTTAAAAATATTTTTTCCAAATCTATGCATCTGACAACAAAACTGCTAACACATTGTATGGATTCAATTTTATGCTCTTTATCAAATAACTTAACTAGTTTTAGGCAGGACAGGTGCCCTTTTCAAATTAAAGCAACACTCCTGCACCAATACAACATTTGATAGATTTAGGCCTCATTAATATGCTATTTTTTTTGCATGTCCATGCAAAGCCCTCTCAAGCCAGAAAAACTTCCTCATCAAATGTATACACACAGATGAAGCCTCGAGTGAGCTGCTCCTAATTCACAACCTGGCTGTCGATAGTCAGAGAAACTATAATCGGGTACTGATATCCTTACAATATGTGTCTCCCTGGGTGTCATTTCCTTCAATACAGGTTGCTTTGTGGCTCAGATCATTCAGTACGGTCAGTGTACATACATTTGATAAAGAGTAGCTAAAGATGCAGAAATCTGCAAACATTTTGTTTAATACAGATTAAAGATTCAAGAATGCAAAAAAATACAGCATATAGAAGGGGCGAAAGCAGATCAAATGCATTCACGCTGTATTGGCATCTGGAGTGTCCCTTTAGCTAAATTAAGAAGTTCTGATGTATAGACTGACCCTGCAGTCTCACTGCTCAATTTATCTGCCATTTAGGAGTTAAATCACATTGTGTACACAGCCTTAGTCATATCTCCATGCATGTGACTTGCACAGCCATCCTAAACACTTCCATAAAGAGATATCTAAAGTTTAGACTTGCTTTATTGCACATTCTTTTAAATTTATAATTTCTTATCTTCTGATCTGTTAATAGCCTTCTAGACCCTGTAGAAGCCTGCTGTAGGTGATTAAAGCTCAATTTACAGATCAGAAGATAGAAAACATCTAAATAAAGTTAACATCTGACTGAAAAAGAAACCATTTTTCCCAAGCAGGCTGTGTCAATCACAGCCAGATGAGGTGTAGCTAGGACTGCATGAGCAGAAACAAAAGCTATTTAACTCCTAAACGGCAGAAAATGGAGCAGGGGCCTTATCTATACACCAAAACTGCTTTATTACGCTAAGCTTGTTTTGACGCCTATAGTGTAAATTTAAAGATGTATTAGCCTACAATCATTTTCATTGCAATTGCCCTAAAATTAAAGCGGTACTGTCACCTCCCCTCCAAAATGAGTATCTTATAAAAAATAAAGCAAATTGCAAATTACGCAAACACCTCAGATGGTGACAGACAGTGTTTGAAGAAGTGTTAAAACAGGGCAAATAAGTAAAAGGGTCACTAAACTAATGTAGTGAATTAAAAACCGAATGCCAAAATGTAAACTAACGTGACAGATTTGGAGTCAGTGCCATAAAAGTCACAGCATTACCACATACAACAATTCACTGTACAGTGGGAATCCTCAGCATGTGCTTAGAAAATACCTTGGGTCACGTAAAATAATCTGTGTGTCACAAATCATCTCTATGTCAATATTAAGAACAAGTATACATAGTATTTATATTCTTCCTAATCAAAACAATTATGGGCATTACAAAACAAATTATTTTAAACTCACCCCCAGTCTCTCCACCAGCATTTCCAGTTCATCCTGCAGCTGCTTGTCTTCTTCAGACTATTAAGACAATTTAGTGAAGCAATATGAATAAACCAGTAACTTGACAGAGAGTGTAAACTATAGAATTCAATACCAGAGAGACAGTATCAAAGATGCAAGAAACTACTGGAAATGGCAGGAAGCACGGGAATATATATAATAAAACATACAGTGAACCAAAGTATATTTGCAGAAACTGTCAATAGTTGAATCAAGGTTTGCACCAGCTATATCCTGAGCAGAATTCTGTTCAAAACAGAATTAGATGTACAGTTAAAGGACCACTACAGGCACCCAGACCACTTCAGCTCAATGAAGTGGTCTGGGTGCCAGGTCCATCTAGGGTTATCACTGCAGCTGTAAACATGGCAGTTTCAGAGAAACTATGTTTACATTAGTGTTAATCCAGCCTCAAGTGGCTGTCTCACTGTGAAAATCACAGTGAGAAGACGCCAACGTCCATAGGAAAGCATTGAGAAATGCTTTCCTATAGACTAATTGAATACGTGCGCAGTTCTTGCCATGCATGCGCATTCAGCGCTGACGTCAGAAGAGGGAGGAGATTTCCCCAGCGCAGAGGGAACCCGGTGCAGGAGAAAGGTAAGCGTTTAACCCCTTCAGGCCGGCCGGAGTGGGACCCTGAGGGTGGGGGAGACTATAGTGGTTCTTTAACTCCCTTGACCTGTCTCCTATTGCTGTGATAATGCATTTGTAACAAAACCAGAGGGACTGCATCTAAAGACTATATATAAATAAAATATCTTTGTGACTAGTCATTATTTTGGGGCTTACAAATGGGAAGTAATGATGTTATCATTCAAAGTATAAGCAAAATGTCACAGTAACAATTTTATGTACCAGAGGATTGATTCATTTAAACAGAGCACTCTGCACGTTATAACCACTTAAAGGACCACTATAGTGCCAGGAAAACATACTCGTTTTCCAGGCACTATAGTGCCCCGAGGGTGCCCCCACCCTCAGGGTCCCCTCCCGCCAGGCTCTAGGGAGTGGAAGGGGTTAAACTTACCTCTTTTTCGAGCGCCGGGGACTCTCCTCCTCTCTGGGTGAATGTGCATGCGCAGCACAATGCTTTCCTATGGACGCTGGCGGCTTCTCACAGTGAGAAGCGCAGAAGCACCTCTAGCGGCTGTCAATGAGACAGCCACTAGAGGCTGGATTAACCCTAATATAAACATAGTTTCTCTGCCGTGCCAGCCCGGTGGGTGCTGCCCTGCCAGCCCGGTGGGTGCTGCCTTGCGCGGCACAATGCTTTACTATGGACGCTGGCGGCTTCTCACTGTGAAAAATCACAGTGAGAAGCGCGGAAGCACCTCTAGCGGCTGTCAATGAGACAGCCACTAGAGTCTGGATTAACCCTAATATAAACATAGTTTCTCTGCCGTGCCAGCCCGGTGGGTGCTGCCTTGCGCGGCACAATGCTTTACTATGGACGCTGGCGGCTTCTCACTGTGAAAAATCACAGTGAGAAGTGTGGAAGCACCTCTAGCGGCTGTCAATGAGACAGCCACTAGAGTCTGGATTAACCCTAACATAAACATAGTTTCTCTGCCGTGGAAGCCCGGTGCCCGCTGCCGTGCCAGGCCGGTGGGTGCTGCCGTGCCAGCCCGGTGCCCGCTGCCGTGGAAGCCCGGTGCCCGCTGCCGTGCCAGGCCGGTGGGTGCTGCCGTGCCAGCCAGGTGACAGCTCGCTCTGACCGAGGCCTTCCACCCCCCGCCGGCCTGCCGGCCCCAGTGACTCAGCTCTGCCCGTGCTAGGCCTGCTCCCTGCCGGGGCCCGGGACTCCGCCCGCCCTGCTCCTACCAGCTCCTGCTCCTCCTTCTTATCCTTGTCTTTGTCCTTGGCCGCGTCCCGTGCCTCCCCGCCTGCATCCTTCCCTTTCCCGGTCGGCTGGCTCTGTGGATTCCGGCTCTGTTCCTCCATTGCTGCGGCTACCTCGCTCTCTCTTTACTCACGCACACGGCCCCGGCCAATTCCAGGACGCGCTTGCGTAAGCGTAGACCGACGTCATACGCACAGATCGTCCAGAGTCATTCCCAGCGCCTGAGGGAGTGTGATTGGATTTGCGTATCACGTGATCAGTTGGAAGACATCTTGGTACACCCTCCTTGTCATTGGCTCGTTACTATGGGAACGATGAGAGAGGAAATCCAGTTTGAGTGCAGGATCACTAGATGGCATTATTGTATTATATTGCATTGAATTATTGCTATAGAAGCTAAATGATTAGCATCTATTTCTATTAATTATAAAGATAAAATAATATTCATTTTAGTACTTTAGGGCTTAACCAATACTTCTCCTGATACTATATTATTAAATAAAACACGTAAAACCATCTACAGCTTGTTTAACCTCTTAAGGACACACGACGTGTGACATGTCATGATTCCATTTTATTCCAGAAGTTTGGTCCTTAAGGGGTTAAAGGGGCACGAGATGCTTCGTAAGCACTGCCAATAACCGTGGTAGTTATGTTAACCAGAGTGCACTGCACTGTCCTCTAGCTGAGTAACAAACCATTTAGAAGCAGTCTAGTATAATCAGAGTTGTTTCCTATTTCCAGAAGCTGACACCCACCCACTTTGGTTGCTTTGGCAATGAGAAAAATTATTTCATACTTACAGATATTTCCCTCTCTCAGCTTTCTTGGTAATGGGCCATGGCACCGCTACACTCGGGTTAGCTCCTCCCTCTACTCCCATGGAAAAAAATAAATATAAATACCTCCTAAATACTTAACTCCTCCAGTATGTAACTAGCTGTATGACCAGGAAGGGTATGCATTGCTGCCATGGCCCATTACCGAGACAGAAAATATTGGTAAATATTAATTCATAATATATGAAAGTAAGAGAGCGCAAACTTTACAAAATAAAAAACAGTGTAGTAAATTTTATCAAATTATTAAAGCAGCTAAAACACACTTGAAACTTCCTAATTTCACTTGTACAATAACCTAAAAAATCGTGTTAGCGCTATATATGGAAAGCCCCCCCACTCTGATTAACAAAAAAAAAAAAAAATATATATATGGAAAGCCCACCGTCTTATATTGGACGCTCCACAAATAATCTTAAGAAGAAAACAATACAATGCATAAACGTTTCTGTTGGTTCTTAAAAAACCTTGCAAATGTCCACAATAAATGTTGGTTAATTTATAGATTATTCTAAGGAAAAAAATATATATATATGCACATGTCCCAGAGTCTTTTGGTGTTGGAGGAGTTAATCCTGCCACACAAGTGGAATCCACTGGCTTAGGATACAGTGTATGCAGCAACGAAAGGGTACCTTGAAAAGATACAAAAGAAAATCTCATAGTGCAACACTGTTTTATTCTCAAACATTAAAATTACCCTCTCCCCCAAAAAGGAACCCTTACACAGACAAATGGTGGTACTTGTTTCCAAGATACCACAAACGAGCATGGGTTAAAAACGGGTGCAATAGATGTTACCGCCCGTCCTGCTGATTCTTTCGGTCAAGCTGAACTCTCTGCCGTGTAGCTCACTGCTTTTCTTGGTGAGACACCAAGTGTCAGGGACGGAGTTAGCGGTCAGTCTACGTTCACCCTTCCAGAACAGAAGCTGTTAGCCGTTAGCACTTCAACGCGTTTCGCCCTAATATCCAAGGCTTTTTAAGCTAACACGATTTTTCTAAAATATTAATTCATACTTCACTACATTCGGGCAAAACTTTTAAAACAGAGGGGGCAGAAAAAAGAGAATAATACCAAATAATGCTGAAACCAGTTGTAACAATGAATGAAGAAACCATTAACAGACTCTCTTCGAACTCTGTGTCCTTGGAGGACCTCACATACAACTGGTAATGTCTGTCTGTTGAAAGTGGAGGTTTAAAGAAGACTACGTGGCATCCTTAGTGTAGCGGACTATCCCCTGTACAAGAGTCTACCCCAGTTTCCTGGAGGGGGCTGCTTGCTCGCCGCCTGCCCAGTGATTATGGTCCCGGGAAGATGGGACCATTTAAACACAATGGCTGGGCATAATGGAGGTTGGCATGGCACTGCTGGCCCTTTTGAGAGCCAGCCAAGGACATATGGAATAGCAGAGACATTGGACTGTACAGCGGATTCATTATTACTTTGCTATTTAACTACTAAGACTTCCGTATGGATTTGTCATAAGACTTTCGTGTGGATTTAAAAAGCATTCATTTGATTGTTCACCTAAAACTGTACTCCCATTTCGGGAGTTTAACACGTGGCAGCAGCCATCTTAAACTCCCGAATAGCGGTGTTTTGCCGTCGAGTGTCTGGAACTAAAATCGGACACTTGACTAGGCAAACACTGCTGAGACCTCCAGACTTCCATAAATTTGTGCCGAAACTACCAAACGAGCCGCCGTTCGGTAGAAAGACTAATGCAAACATGGGAATTCACACGAACACCAGTATAGCCATGGATGACAAACATTTTGTGACTTTTATTCCGCGAACGGAGACCAACCGCAAGGCCAAAACTTATGGAACTATTTTCGGCTACTGTTGCCCGTGCGGTCGGTCAACTCTTTAAACCCCCATAACTCCTGAACCCCTGGTCCGATCTGGGTGATTTTTTAATATGTTGCTCACCCAGATCATTTAGGGGTGTACCTAGTATATTTGGGGTATATCTAAGAATTGGGGGAAAATGTGTACATTTTAATTATGTTATCTGATAAGTTGAGGGGAGGAGATGTGTGGGAGGTAACGTCTATTTGATTGGATACTGTAGTAATTATTGTGGGTGTCTTCCTTGCAGGGGAGAACCGCATAAAAGCAGGGTATATGAAATAAAGCCTCAGTTCTGCTCCTGATACTGTGTGATCAGTTATTGGGAAAGGTGATGGGATATTATTGGATTGTATCGCTGATTATGCTTGCTACGCTGTTGGATTATTCTATTACTGTGGATGTTTCTCCTGGGGTTACTTCTTGTTCCTGAGCCACACCTGGACTACCAGCGGAAATAGTCTGTGAGAGACCAGCGTTCCGCTACACTTAGTTATATGGTCTGAGGGCACATATTCAAGATATGCCCAGGTTGCTACAAAGACTCTGGTGGAATGGACCTTCAAACCTTAGGAACTGAAACTCACTTTGCTACAAAGACTCTGGTGGAATGGACCTTCAAACCTTAGGAACTGAAACTCACTTAGATACATATTCTTTGGATATTGCTGACACAACCACTGACAATAGAAGGAATTGAGACTGCTTCTTCATTCCTGTGACTTCATGGGATGACAAATAATCTTGAAGATTTACACCAATCCAATGTCCGTTAAGATGCATCCTGAGACACATTGCTACATCCAAGGTGTGCCACGCCATCTCTTTCTCTGAAGCAGGGTTTTTTGAAAAAACAAAGGAAGTACAGTACCTTAAGATATATGGAATCTAGACACCACCCTAGGATGGAAATCAGGCACTGTTCTAAGGACCACTTTATCTGCATGAAATAGGATAGAGAATAAGGTACCTAACTCTTAGATGCTTCTGCCTGATGTCAGTTACATAATGGGCATTTGACCCAAAGGTTCAAATGGAGCCAACTGTACTGGTGAAATGGTAAATCCCATAGTGGAGAATGAGACTTCAGTGGTGGATGTATGTGCTAAACCACCTCCATGAATCTGATAACATTACTGTCCAAAGCCCATCTAGTACATGAAAAAGACAATAGGGCAGAAACTGGAATCTTGAGAGTTATAAAGCTAAGGTAGTACTGTAAAACTTTCTGTAGAAGACTCAATAATTCTGATGCTGCGGAAGATTCAGGAGAAACAGCCTTCTTAGCTGCCCAATTACAAAACATATCCCAAACTCTATGATAAATGGTGGATGTTGATATTTTCCTTTCTTTTAACAACGTAGAAATAGCCTTTTGTGACAACCTATCGGTTGGTTTGCTTGGAGAGGAACTCCGTTGCAGTGTAATGGCAACCCCTTGCAAACACAACACTCCCAGATGCCTGAGAGTGTTACAGGAAACTGGGAGATCTGTGAGAGCACAGGTACCTTTATTTACAGAGAAAGCAAAGAAAAGGAAAAGGAGCAGGCAGGAAGCAGTGTCAAGTGGTCCGATGGTCAGGGCTGGCAGCAAAGAAGCAAGGTCAAAGGTCAAGCCAAAGGTCAGAAGCCAGGAGATCCACAAATAGAGAGCAGGACATTAGAAGCCAAAGGTCGGAGACAAGAAGCGTGGTCAGAGTCAAGCCACAGGTCAGAAGTCAAGTCAGGAACACGGACAAGGATCAGGAACACAGGAAGTAAGTAACGCCAGTAGACTGAAAGCAAGGACCAGAGCAACAAAGCACTGACCAAGTGCAGTGCTTGGTTATTTATAGGGGAGGCCAGTCATGTGACTGGCCCCCACCACCTTGCAGGTGGAGCCCCCTGGCTATTTAAGAGGAGTAGGGACTTGGCGCCATGCCGCAGATCCTCCCCCTGTAATTACTAGCCAGCCCTCCCAAGCCCTACACCTCCGCCTCCCAAACGCACGCAGTTTGGGCGTCCACCACCATCTTGCCACAGCGGCCCTTTGCGGAGCCAGACACCAAACACAGGAGTTGGGAGGAGGAGAGGCAGGCACTGGAGCCCCCAGCATGCCACGGAGGCGCCAGGCAAGGTAAGCTGTGACAGGGCCCCCCGAAGGCACCACCTCAAGGCGCGATCCTGGGTTGGACTAACAGGATGTCTAAGATGAAAAACTTTCCAAGGCTTGAGAAGGAAGATACTGGATGGACCTGATACTATCACGGTTGTGTAATAACCCAACATGCAGTTTGTAAACCCACAGAAAACCCAAGCACGTATTACCGAACCTTAGAATGGTCAGGTTTAACTAGGGAGAAAAGAGTAGTCAAGGAATAGCCAAAAGTCAGGATACCAGAGATCAGGAGAACGATACGAGAATAGCCGGGTCAGATACTAGAAAGGAGAAAGTCAAGATACAAGCCGAGTCAGGGAACCAGAGAACAGAGAAGTCAAAAGCCAAGACAAGTGAAAACACAGAAATATTTAATAAACACAGA